CTCCTCGGCCTCGATACCTATAGCAGCATCGATAGTAGCGACGGCGTTAGCGCCGACGCGCTAAGCGAGGTTCTAGTGCAGTTAGTATACGAAGCGCAAGTAAAACGAGGCTATAGGAAAAAACTATACCTAACGACCGATCTCTACTAAGCCGGCTAAGTTAGTGCCGATATTCTCGAGGGCACTAAGCAGGTTAATATCTGTAAGGGACCCGCTAGCGGCCCCCTTACGGGCTAGGGCTTTGCCGCCTAGGGTTACCTTATTCTTATTAATATAGAAGGCGTCGAGCGTAGATAGGATAACTAATAAGGAGGTTAGTATGCAAAGCGTAAGCGGAGCGTATAAGAAACCTACGTACGACGACAGCGTCTAGGTTAGTCTAGAGTGCCTCTAAGGCCTCGTTAGACTCCTCGACGGAGTCGTAGCCGTCTAGATCGTAAAGGTCGCGCGTAGCGCGTACGGCGCGGATACGGGCTAGTAGCGACACTAGCGCGCGTACCGTAATAGGAGTATAGGTATAATAGCTACCGCGGTAGCGATCGTAGTTACGCTTAGTAGTAGGGTCTATATTACCGCCTATATAAACCTTAGTTAGGTCTACTAAAGCGAGTTAGTTGCGAAGCGTAAGCGCGTAGTAAGTAGCGAGAACATATACTATTAGCCGTTATATGCTTAAAGCAATAGATATAGCCCTTTAGGACTTTTAGGGGGCGCTAGGTAGGCGTAGTAGATATCGAGGGTAGAGCGCCTACAGCGCGCTTGCCCGAGGCACGCGAAGGAGTAGCTATACTAGTAATGTTTTTTTTAATAGATGTTTAAGAAAGAAAAAATCTTTAAGTAATACTAGGGGGGCGCGAGAGGGGAGTAGGTAGGGCGCAGGCGGGTAGTATTCGGAGCGCTTAGAAAAAGAAGAAGTTTTTAAGCGGGCTTCGAATGCTTTAAATACTCGCCTCGCTTTCGGATAGCTTACGTTCTCGCGTAGCTACCGCGTTCTTAGAAATTTAGGCAACCTCTAGTTAGTACTAGAAGCAGCCGCGCTTTAAATCTATAAACAAACAAGCAACTACGAGGCAAATTATAACGCGCCTAGCAACTATAGCCTAGCGATAGGTACGTATAAGACGCGCAAGTGCAGCGCAGAGTATAAGAAATAGTATAACTTACTATATTGCCCTATAGCTAGGATAGCTATACCGGGGGAAGGAGATAATTATAAGAACCTAAGCAAGTAAAGTCTCCTATTATACCTTAGCAAGCCTATATAACAATTATATAATGTTATTACGTATACTGCGGTGCTGTCTCGCTAGCGTAAAGCCTGCTTAGCGTATATACGGAAAAGCTCGGTCGCTCGTACGGACATACTCGGTTACCGGCTCGGCATAGGTACTATCCGTACGTAGCCTAGTTAATAGTAAACGCTCTGCCCTGTTCTAAGAAAGGCACGGTTTAGTTCTACTTTCTACTACGGCGATTAGTAGAGGGTGTTCTATACGTTGCTATATACCTATTTTCTTATACTATATAAACTGCTTCTAGCTATAGGTTGTAAGGGAACCTAGTATATATTATTAAGGCTCGAGCTACCTTAATAATTGTACGGCCTACTCGCTTAGCTAGGTCCTATTCTAATATATATAGGGCTGTTAGCCTCTACGTAGTATAGTTATTGCGTAAATACGATCGAAACCGAAGGCCTAAGATGCCTCCTTTATTATCCGATAACAAATAGATAATATCTCGCCTAATGCTGCGTACGAAGGTAGCTATTTAGTTCTAGCATTGTAGGAGAGTTGATTCCTAGCGATTACTAATTGTCTATGTAAAGTAAAGTCTAGTATTTAGGTCGTATGCGTAAAAGATGTACTAGTCGCTATTGTAGGCCGTATCTAGTTGCATTAAGTCGGCTATAATGTGTCTATATAGAGTCAAAATCGACACATTATAGTACCTTAGTCTCCTAGAGATAAGTCTCTTGCCTTTTACTTATATATATATAGGATAAAGTAGTGTTCTTAGTACCTTATTATTATATATATAATCTCTTATTATTCTATTAACTCTATCTATAAGCTCTTGCGCTCTCTTAGAGCCGAGATGTCTAAACACCTTATATATTTGTTTAAGGGTAAGCTTCCTTAGCGGTAGTAGGCGTACGGAGCGACGAGCTGTTACGTAGGCCGATAGTATAGTTGTCGACTGTGCTAGTTAGAAGGGGTATAGATGTAGCTTGCCTTTATCCTCTATTAGCTATTCGAGCGGGGGTTTACTATCTACTTTATAGGTAATATCGAAATAGGGTATGTAGTTATTAGGTCTAATAAGAGGGACTAGTAGTTTCCCTTATAGGTTGTAGAGAACATTATTAAGCTTATTATGCTTAAACCTACGGTAATAGAAGATTGCCCCTCTAACAATATTAGTATAGAAATTAGGGACATAGAGGCACTCTTTTAGCTTAATAGTTAGGGGTTTACCTACTACTAACTTAATAGTAAAGGATGCCCTTCTAATAGCGATAACTTTATTATATCTAGTTCCTATTGCAATAGTAGCTCGCGGAGGAATAAACATTGCCTAAAAGTTGAAGCGACTAGGATAGTTAACGATATTGCAGTTAGATCTACTATTATATATTAGGCTAATAAAGGGGTTCCATTTCTTGTCTCTTATAGCTATTAATAGATAGGTAGTAGTTAGTGCTAGGGTAACTAATGCAAAGGCTAATAGGTCTAGAGTGTCTAGCTTAAAGAAGTAGGCTAGTAAGACTTTGTCTAATCTATTGCCTATTCTAGTATCGTCTCTACTATCTTTAGCTAAAAGTCTATAGTGTTGCTAGGCAATCTTAATAGCTAGTAGGTCCTTAAAGAACTTAGCCTATCTTAAGTAGAAGCCCTTATTCTTACGCAGATAGGCCTTAAAGTACTTTAGCTTTCCTTTCTACTTTTTGTCCTTATCCTTCTCTTTAACTTGTTTACGAAGTCGGTAGTTTACTATAGTACACTTACCGCGGTTTTTATATGCCTTCTTCTTACCTACTCTAGTAAGTTTAGCATATGTCTTTAGTATACGGTTGCTACTATTACTACGGCTCTTATTCTTATTAGGCTTATCGTTGTTATTGTTATCCGTAGCTTATAGAGCGGCATTAGTACTAGCTTTACCTGTTTCTTCGTAGATAATACTAAAAGATGAACCCTTCTTTATAGAAGTACCTAGCATATTACGGGCATATTCTCGTACTATACTAATTAGTTAATAGAAGTTGTTAACTAATAGCCCTACCTAGTATATTATATAGAGGCCTTTTCTATAGGTCTTATCTATATTTGTAACTGTAGTTTATAGGTAGGTTACTAAGTTGTCAAATTCCGGGTATTGTATACGTTTTATCGTCTTATAAAGGTTAAGCTATTCCTCGTACTAGTGCTTAGGGTCCTTTACCTACTTAGAATTAATAAGGCGGTAAAGCTCCTTACTAAGGGCAGTCCTTTGCTACTAAGTGTTAGGTGCTAGCTTGTTCTTCAATCGAGTTAGAACAAGCCGTATAGTTAGTACTATATTGTCTATATTAGGATTAGTAATCTCTAAGTAATAGCGAATGTCTATAGTTATAGCTAGATATTTAATTGTCTTATTACGAGCTGTCCTAAAGCGCTTAAACTCCGCCTTCCTTATATTAAAGTGTTCCTTAGTAAGCTTTGCCCTAGCCTAATATAGGAGGTTGCTTATAAGTTGTTCTATATCGAACTCTAGAAGAAGGGGTTATACTAGTTTAGTAGGTTTAGTCGAATATAGGTTAGTAAGGACCTAGGTCTTATATCTAGTTAGGTACGTCTTAGTTTGCTTAAACTATCGATCCTAGTCGTTAGGTCTACGAAGGATAATAAGCTTACTACTACCGAGGCGACTAGCTAATAAGAGGGCTATTAAGGATATACTAACGTTGCTTTAAAGCAGTTATAGTTTATAGTACCGTTAAGACTATCGATTCGATTGTTACAGGTCTCGTAGAATAGAAAAAATTCTTTCCTACTATAGAAGTCTCTAATACCGCGGATTAAATCCGGGCTTGTAACTATTATATATAGCGTAGTAGATTACTTATATAATACTGTATTGCCGGCGGTTGAATTAGCTTCGTTGATTGCCTATGTTCTGCTCTATTCTATAGTCTAAAATACAATGAAAATTCTTTAAGCCAAGAAGTCACGTGCTTGTTATGTGACTGAGCTGACGCGTCACAATCCTGCACCCCGACCCCGACCTCCCTGCCCCGCCACGTCTCTCCAAGTTGAACTCCAACCTTTCGCTTTCGCTATCACGCACAGCGCAGTGGATTACTTACGTAATACTGCCTTGCCGGCGGTTCAATTGGCTTCGTTGATTGCCTATGTTCTGCTCTATTCTATGGTCTAAAATACAGTGTAAAAATTCTTCAAGCTAAGAAGTTATGTGACAGTCATGTGACTGAGCTGATGCGTCACACGCTATCCTACCACCACAACAATTCTCGCAATGCCAGCCTCTGCATGATGCCTTCTTCGTTGCAATCAGATCTCGCGTTGGCTGGGCGCTTCACAAATAATGTGGCGAACACGAAATCGCCAATGCTGGTAACTACTGGGCTGTGCATACGCGCCAAGCGCATGTCGAGGTGAGCTATTTTCGTATCGTATACACTCTCACGTAACGGTGACGCTGGTTGAGATCGCTGCCAGGAACAACAGCTTGGCAGGGCACCAAGCGGCGAATGCGAGGCATTGCGAGCCAGAATACGAGTGGCTCAAGCCCTTATTAAAGCCAGGTTGCCAGGCCAGCCTGGGCTCATACATATGTAATTCGCCGGCATGCGGCATACGAGTTATGTGATACCTTGACCCCTACCCTAGTCTGCTATCTCGCTTTCAATCGGTCGAGGTACACCCACCTTGACCCTGGCGGCATTGCAATATAAGAAGACTGTACTCTCCTTGCTTGTCGCCTCGTCATTGCAAACACATATCCACAGCACGACAGGACCTTCGATCGGAAAAGAGACAGCCTTCGACTTTCGTTGTACAACATAATCACTACACCACCCACACCACCGTCAACATGCGTTACTCAATCGTTGCCCTGGCTGTCGCCTCTACCAGCGTCTATGCCCAGACCACCTGCTCTCCCATTCCAGGCACAATCGTTCAGCCATCCGGTGCTCCTCAGATCACAGCATGTGCGAACTCACTGAAACTCGGCGACCCATGCGGATCAGACCAGCAGTGCCCAGCCGGCGTCGAATGCTTTGGCTCTACTGCAGGAACCATCCGTACTTGCGGTAGCTTCAACGCCGTCTGCACCAACGACAGCCAATGTGCCACCAACACCTGCAACAACGGTCTCTGCAATGGCCTCAAGCCATCTCCATCCTCATCCTCAAGCTCCGCAGCCCCAACATCGACCTCCACCACATGCGCCGCACCAGGCGCCTACGACGCACAAGGCCGATACAGCTGCAATCCCGCACATTCCTATCCTGCAGGGCAAACCTGTACATTCATCAACGGCTGCCCACTCCTCGTCAACGCAACCGCATCTTCTTCTTCGACTTCCGCCCCAACCTCATCACCGACTTCGACATGCCCTGCGGCCGGCAGCTCAGATAGCCAGGGCCGATACAGCTGCAATCCCGCACATGCTTATCCTACAGGCCAAAAATGTCAGTTGGTGGACGGATGCTACTTCCTCGCCTCCGCCACCAGCACCAGCACCAGCACCAGCACCAGCAGCACGACTATGGCCCCAAGCTACGGCGGCGGAAACACCACTGCTACAGCTGGTTCAACCGGCTCTGCCGGCTCTCCCGCTGCCCCAAAATCCTCCGTCACTCCATACACCGGCGGCGCTTCTGTCACTGGCGCATTGAGCGGCGTGGCTGCCATTGCTGTGGGCATCGTTGCATTCGTCATGTAAACTTTAGAGCAGCGATTGAGCGAATTTTAGAAAGAAAAAAAAACAAAATGTCTTGCGGGCACAGGAATGGGGGAAAAAAATGGGTGGGTGGCGGCGTGTATGAATTACCCAAAAAGATTCGAGCGATATATGTATGCATTAGCGATATTTATTCTTAATAATGATAATGAGAAAGGATGAAAAAATCTTTGGACAACATCAATTGTGCTGCTGATCAATCCTGCCTCTCTCTAACGACGACTTCACGAGTTCCCAGGGCTTTGTAGGCACGTACAGTCGTAGAAATGACGCTCTTGCAGCAACAGCGCCGGGCATTTAAGGATCTTAAAAGTATGATTTGTGGTATCAAAGCGAGCATGATTCTAATCTCGCTCTGACTCTTCATGAGCTCACCACGTGCTGAATCTGAATCTATCAGCTCACTATTTGGCCTCCTTCAGAAGCGCCTGCAATGCTGGAAACGGCGTCTGTGGGTACGCCTTTGCGCTCTTCTTCCTGCTTCCGCCCAAGCTTTCTCTCCTCATCCCAAGCCTATGCGCATTACCTCCGACCCCAGTAGCCGAAACCTCCTAGACTTTGGCGCTGAGATCGATGTCTTCGACTCGATAATGATCTGCGACTATACGGTAGAGATAGCTGGGCGCATGTCCGCCGAGATTGGTGATGTAAAGATCGACCAGATCGGCATCGACATGGTCGTAGATGGGGTTGACGACATCAACCTTGTCCATGAATTCGCCGTCTTGGTAACTGACGACTTTTCCCGGGTCACCTGCATATTGTCAGCAATCGATCTAGAAGCGCTTGTTGGGCGGCACTGGCTTTAGTCGCCAGCCCTAGTCCAGCGCCTCCAAAGCTGAATCTGAAGCTGAAATTGGCAGGGCATTCGACTTACCGTGTTCAATGAGCTCATCTGTGTTGAATGGGTAGACGGGACTCAGTTTATAGACGCCGCTCAGTACAACGACTGGAACATGATGTACTTTAGCCGCTTGCGCGATAGTGCTTGCTCCGGCCGCCGCGATCAGCGAACCATTGGCGAGGACAGTGTGAGGTGCAAGAATGACTTTGTTGATGCGAGCCATCAGGGCGAACACGGCAGAGTCGGGGATCACGATGACTTTGATACCCATGGCCGTGAGTGCTTTCCACCGCTCTTCTTCTTCGTCTTCTCCTTGCTTGACGCCACCGTTGACGATGGTAGCATGCGTATCGGCATGGTCATTGGGATATGCTTCGGCGCAGACAACGGTGAACTTGCGTTTCCGTGCTGCTGTGATGAGAAATCGCTGCACTGTCTGGCTTGAAGTATGCGTAAGGATGATCTCGTTTGAATGGATGTGATGCAGAGCTGATTCTGCGATCTGTTCGTCCACGATTTCGAGCTCCTCCAGGAGTTCCGAAATGCCGTTCAAGACTTCTGCCTTGACATCGATCTTCTCGTTGGCATCCTTCTTCTGGCCTTTGATTGAAGGCGAGTCTTTAACAGGTGGCGTACCCAACGGAGAGACTCCTGTCGGTTGCTGAAAAATGCCAAATAAGGAGTTCAGATGTGGTGCTTGGCCAGCGTAAGAACTTGCCGCGCCAGGCATGGCAGGTCGCTGGTTCGTCAGAGTGGTGGGCAATGGCGCATCACTGCTACCTGTCTGTGTGTGCGCAGTCTGAGGTAGAGCTCCGGCATGATTCAGTGGGCTGAAAGATGAGATGTTTGTGGGAAGACGTGGTCTCGAAGAAGAATGCTCCTGGCCTTGAGCAGGACTCGGGAGGCTGTCGACGGAGCTACTCAAGTCGGGCTCATCGTCTTCTGCCACTTCACGAACAACGCCCAAGACTCGTCGGACAATATTGCCTTCCGAGGATCAGTGGGTGTCTCGAATTCCAAGTGCGCTCACATATAGAAGCTAGGGCCGAAGCAATATAGCGCCTCTGACCGACGGGATTGAAGCACTTACCAACTGCCATCTCGCGAGGCTGAGCGGCCACCAGCTTTCGCCCGACATCTCGGATTCTTCGCACCAAGGTCTGCGCATCTGGCCATCTTCGCTCTGCAACCACGCTTTGTAATAGGTTGGCCGTCGCAATGGCGCAAGGTCTCGAGTTTTTGATCTGGCGCCGCTTCAGGAGAGATACGAGGAGTTCAATTAGCGTTTCGACATCTTGCGTCTTGCGTGCTTTGAGAAATGTGCTCAGAGAGGGCGTCTGGACTCGGAGGGCGCCCGGCATTTTGGCTGTGGTGTTGATGCGATGTCGAGGTTTGGTTGTGTACGGACACAGAAGCAGTGTTACGGAACAAGGAAGTAACGGTCCAGGGGCTGGCTGACTAATGAGGCGACGGCCTACCTTTGTAATTAGCCTTCCTCCTCTATATAATCATTATCAATCTCAACTTTATAACAATTAGTAGCTTCGCTCGCACTAAACCCTCGTACTACTAGAAGTTATTTAAAACGCTACTAGGACGAGGTAACTAGATTAGACGGATCCGACTAAGAGTCTAACTACTTCCCCCTACTACTACGCAACCGTATATACGGGGCAACGCATATCTGTATAAACCCTATAGACGACGACCGCGCTTTCGCTATATACGTACGAACTAACCGGATTACTAATATAAAGGTTAGATCTTATCTAGAACGCTTTCTATAGAACTTTTAGGCGATAGAGACCTATCCCCCTAAGTAGCTCGACTTACCGGTATACCGACAGCCTATATAGAACTCGTTCCTATAGTTCTATAGGAGAAGGTATAGGCTAAATTTACTATTAGCGACTACTATAGTAAGTAGGTCTAGAAGATACTTACTTATAAAGGGGAAGTTACTTTCTAAGCTAAGGGCAGCTGCCTCTAGATCGCAATAGCAGTTATAACAGCCTTAATAGCCTCTACGGCAATCGCCTAATATAATAATAATAATAGCGACCTCTACTATAAGTATACGACTTTCGACTACGTCGACGGCTTAACCTATAATAGTAACTATATAGGCAACGAGCGTCTAGCCTCCTACTATAGCGGAATAAGGGGACGCTATCTCGGCGGAAATAATAGCCGCTATTTAGGCGGTAGTTGCCTAGGTACTAGCAGGCTAGGCTCCTATAGTAGGCAATAGAAATAGAAATAGTATGCCTATCTTTAACGAGGCTAGCAACCTAAACCGAATATAGGACTAGGAAATTAGCTTCTTCTAGCTAGACCTATCGAAAGGAGACGACGACCTAAGTATCGTAGGATCTAATACCTTCTTCTAAGATATTAATATCTTTATTAAACGACTTAAGGATGTTATAGTATATCGTAGTAACGATCGAGTTAAGTCTAGAATCCCCGTACTACTACGAGGAACGGCCTTAACCTAGTATACTAACACGCTTAACAACCTAGCGAAATAGGGCCTTCGCTACGTACTAGGTCTAGACTATTAGTTTACGACGCTACGAGAGAACTTCTAGACGCTACTATCTAAGTCGCTAAACGAGCTAACGCGGCTTAAATATACGTTATTAGACGTAGGCAACCGACGTAGTATAGATACCTACCTTAGCGAGGTAATACGCTATATACGTAACGCCGGCCTAGTTAATAAAAGCTAGTAGCTAACGTATATATAGAATAGTATCGACGTAGAGCTACGACGTAGCATTCGGCTACCGAGAGAAGAGGATACGATCGTATTATTTAGGTAGAGGCTTAAGGAGGAGCAACTAGCGTAGGTTAAACTAGTACGACAACTAAACCGCCGCAATATAACTACTATTACCGGTTCTTTATTAAGACTATTCCCTACCCGCTTAGCGGGTAAGTAACTATAGCGTAATCGAGACTAGAACTTCCGACCGAGCTATTAATAGACAGATCGATAGGAAGGCTCTAGGAAGCCTTAGACTAACTCCGTATATTCTTTATAGCCGCCGCCGCCTCGCCGCGACTAAGGTCGAAGCGACTAACGCTTTCGGAAGCCTTAAGACTGTTAAGAATTAGCAAGCGACAAGTTATAATTAAGGGGCGCTAAGAAGACCTTCGATAAGGCTAAGCCTTAGCCTATAAAGCCCTTCGCTTAGCGCAAGAAGCAAGACTCTTACTAGAAATTAGTTACGTCCTTATTTTACTAGGATTTTTAGTAATAGCGTCGCCCTCGACGTAGGCTACTATTACGCCGAAGCCTCGTTTCTTAGACGCGCTGCCCTACGTATAGCGACAAATCGATAGAATCCTACGAACGGAAGGACTTAATAGGTTCGCTAAAGCTTTTATTAACGATATCGTAATTTATAGCAAGACGCTAGAGGAACATCTATACTATCTCGATAAGGTATTCGAGGCCTTAAACCGATACTACTTTTCCGCGCTGCTACCTCTGATGAACTTCAAGAACATGCTATCGAGGCGGAGACGCAGGAACGATGCGCATCAGGTAGGCCTTGGTGCCGAGTTTGAGAAGCACGAGCGCGAGAAGACACGGCCCCAACCAAAAAGGCATTCGTCACGACGGAGTCCAAGTGTGGACAGCAATGCCTCCACTGCTTCCTACCAGACATCCGATGGGGAGGACAGCCCAGCCAGACATACCCGCTCCAAGACCGCAGCAAGCCAGCAAAGCGAAGAGAGCCTGCCTCGGAAGAGCATTCGTATAAGAGAGGATGCCTTGCGAAAGAGGAAGCCTTCCAAGGCGAAGAGCAAGCAGGTGTCGCAAGACGATATTGCCAGAGTCGCCTCCGAACTGAAGTCACCGACTTCGCCAGCCGGAGCCGCGAAGCTAACCAAATATCCTCGACAGCCTCAAGTGCCACGCCCGCTTGTTCCCAGGAGACAGCCGAGCTATATAGGCGCTCCTTCCGGAACTCCCAAGAAGACACTCATCATAGATCTTGACGAAACCCTCATCCACTCCATGGCCAAAGGGGGTCGCATGTCAACTGGACACATGGTTGAAGTCAGACTCGCAGGCCCTATGACTAGCGCAGGCGTGCAGATTGGTACCGGTGTGCCCATCCTCTACTTCGTACACGAGCGACCCGCATGTCACGAATTCTTGCGCAAAGTTGCTAAATGGTTTAACTTGGTAGTCTTCACTGCATCTGTTCAAGAGTACGCCGACCCGGTCATTGATTGGGTCGAACGCGAGCGGAAGTACTTCTCGGGAAGGTATTATCGACAACACTGCACGTACAGGAACGGTGCATATATCAAGGATTTGGCACAAGTGGAGCCTGACCTGAGTAAGGTCATGATCTTGGATAACAGCCCCATGAGTTACATCTTTCACGAAGGTGAGTCTGAACCAACATTCCTTTCGACATCTCCCTTGCTAACGTCGCTACAGATAACGCGATCCCCATCGAAGGCTGGATAAGCGACCCTACCGATAAAGAGCTGATCACCCTCATTCCATTTCTGGAGGCAATTCAATATGCGACTGACGTGCGCGCCGTCCTTGCGCTTCGACAGGGCCAAGCTACTCAAGCGTAGCGCGCGATGGGTCATCGCCTTTCAACTTCCGAGGACGAGGAGCTTAGCACTTCATACTTGATTCCCGCGGGCATAGCGAAGGCGTTCAACAAGGTGTTGATGGCGCATGCAAAGAAGTGTACAGTATAGATGAGCATGACTAATGCAACGATGGCTTACGAGCCGTCACTTGGTTCCGAGATGATCTAATTCTCAATAACTTGTGCATCTCAGATGTGCCCTCGATGCCCTTCCAAATCCGTCCCTTAACTCTACTCGCAGTGTCCAACCTCGATTCATCGTCCATTCCTACCACCTACGCCAAGATCTGACGTCCAGAGGGAGATCTGCCGGCGTGCGGACGTGTGCGGCAAGCGGACTATCTGCGGAGCTGCACACGGCAAGATTGAAGGCTCCTTGCACAAACAGCATCGTCGCTATTGTATACATTTCTTCGTAAGTGCGATGCTTGAACGCGATACTTCATGGTCTTCATACCCGCCCGAACGCCAGTCGCTATGCTTAATACCGTCGTAAGTCTACATCTGCAGTCCACACGAAGCGAGCTCCATAGTTCAGATGCCAGTTTTGAACACTCCTCTCCTGCCATTCCTATGTCTGAAGCAGATTTGACCGTCCTCGATGATGGGTACCAGATCCACACCCTTAAGCCCAAAGAATTCATCCAGACTATCAAAAGTCCGTACAGTGGTGGCGTCGATCTTATTCTGCGCCTCACGCACATTCGACTTGCTTGCACGTTTGACAGGGGACTTGGCCGTACTAGATGTGTGGGGCTTGTGAACGCGGAGGAAGGGCTGCTCGCCGAGGGGGGAGTAGAATGCAGGCTTGCCAAATAGCTGCTTCTTCCGCGGCCGCTTCTCGATTTCGGCAATTTTTGCAGCGGCGTCGAATTGATTTTTCGGGTCGTATTCTGGCCAGGCCTCGAATAAAGATCGCTCTGTAGAGACTGCGTCTGATTCTTCCAGCCTGATAAGATGACGCAGCTCACTCTGGTCATCTTCCTGCTCTGGCGTAATTGCAAGCGAGATGTCATCGTCAATCTCCTCGAATACTCTCGGTCCTTCATCTGGTGATCTGGGGGGACTTTGAGCGGCAGAGGTCAGACGCGTCGAGACCTCATCAATTTCCATCGGGTCACCTCCGGCTTGGCCATCACAGTCGTTGGAGCCTCCTGTTGTGAGCGCGAGATTCGAGCGTTGGTGAAGTTGCTGCCGGCGCGCAGCACGAGCGAGGGGCTCGTCTTCGGAGGATTCTTCGTCGACAGTTGCGCACTTCTTTGTCATCGCTTCTTGCGTGAATCTCATGCTGTCGTCAAATGACTGCAATTGCGATAAAGAGCCTGTGTCTTTGCCAAGCTGCACACGCCGTTTCTTGGCGATGCTATCCCGGTTGTTCCATGGTTCCGTCACTTCCTCATTCACAATCAGCTTGCTTTCGGTTTGAGATTCGACAACACTAGGGCTGAGAGGAGACGCCTCCATGAATGGTCTCTGCAGGACAGAGTCCCATTGCATCAATTTGAACTCCAGTCCGGGTAGCAATTCATACCACTTCTCGAGGTTACCATCAGAACTACGAACGGTTACGGCTGAGCAGATCTGCTTTCCCAAACTTCCATGATTGTTGTGAATCATTGACGCTTTGATTGAACCAGTCCAGGGGCCTTCTTTCTGGCTGTAGCCTGGAATGTTCTCGGAAACCCAGGAGACAACGCCTGTCGGCAGCAGTCGGTGCTCCGGCGCTGCGCAAAGTGCCATGGAGATGAGCTTCCAGTATGTGTCCTTCGGCCGCTGCTTCGAATTACCGAGGTCAAACACGTCTTCGCTCTCCTTCAAGCGAGAAGTTAGCTCGGGCTTCCGTTTCTGAGGTACGGAAGGTGCTGTTGATGTAATCGGAGGTGCAGCCGGTTCGCCGTTCCCAGTGTGTGTATTTGTTGATTGGTCGGTTTCATCGACACCGGCGACTAATGCTTGCTGTCTCGAGGTCACTGAGAGACAGGAGGAAGCGAGCCGAGCAGTCTTGGGCGAGTCCGTAGCCATTTCCAGAGGTTCTAATGGAGGTCTGGCATCTATAACGCTGGAGTTTGCCTTCTGGATGATATCGCTGCGCTTGCATTTGGTGCAAATCGAACGACCGGATGGGTGGCGCGGAACTTTTGTTATGTTGCAAATGCTGCAAGAGACCGGCGCAATAGGATTTCGCTTTGCTTTCGTAATTGATCGTCTTGGTAGAGTGCGATGCTCCAGCACGCTGTCTGCTGGCGGTGCGCACGACGCAACCTTGTCGATGACAGGTGCGGTCGGTCCAGTCACAGGAAGAGGGTGGCGTGAAGCTTGGCCACCTATGTGAGAAGCAGGCTCTACTCCCATACTGCGACCGACATCAGTCTTCTCTGACGCCTTAGGATCGGGTCCAACGTCATTATGTTGCGCCTGCGCCGTCTTGGCTTTCGGCGGAGTCTCGCTCTCACCCACTGATCTCAAACCCTCAGCGGCAAGCTCTTTCATTGCAGAGGGTACAGGACGAAAGTTGTCGACAAGGTGCTCGTCTCGTCTCGGGACTGAGGCGCCAGGTTCGGCTGATATGGCATGGTGATCGGCTCGCAACGTCGGATCTGTTGCCTTCTTCGCGCTCTTGATGATTAGACTCTGTTTGGCGGCTGTCTCGACATTTATCGATGGCTTGTGGGCACCCAAGGAGAACCTTTTCTCGACCACGTCATCAGCAGCCTCTGTTACGGGAGTATCAACGATATCCTCCAGCGGACCTTGCAATATCGTATTTCTGGCCGGCGGCGCCATATTCAACTGCTGTGGCCCAGACCTTCGATCCGCATGCGGTGACCCGACGAAATCGTGTCGGGTGGTCGCAAGTGCGGCGGCAGGACATGCCTCAATTGATGTCTCGCTTCGAGATTGAACAGCAGCTGCGGGGTTTTGAGATAAAACGGCTCCTGGCCTCGTGGAGTGGCGCTGCCCTTGGTGAGTAGTGGTTGTTTTCGTAGCTGTTGCCATGTTTACAGGCGCAGCTACTTCTTGCGCATCTCCGATTGCGGGCCGAGCTTGAGACGAGCAAGCGGAAACTTGCTCGCCTTCGTGACTAGTGGACATTTGATCTCCTTCAGAGCGCTTTGGAATGCCTTTTCGCACACATCGTTCGCATTGCCACCACTGATCTATGTCATCTGGAGTTATGTGCAATGGGAGGCACTGCCGATGATAGCGTCTCTGGCATGTCGTACAATTGAACAGCTGACCGCCTATACTTGGACATTTGTGGCAACTCTGAGAACCCATCTTGTTGCGACTTGATGAGGTGGTACCACTGATGGTGGAAGTGGCATCGTCCTTTTCCACATTTGAGGCGCCTTGAGAGTTGTGTGGAACTTGCAGTAGCAACGTAGAATCGGGCTCGAGGGGCGAAGGACTGCGCACTGGAAAGAGCTTTCGGAGCTGTTGCAAACGGGCGGAAGGCTGTGGCGAAGAGCTGGAACCTGCCACCGCTGCCTCGTCGGAAGCGTGGTGGACAAAAGTATGAAGGGATGATGAGTTTTGCACGCGGTAGCCTTTCGAGTACGATTTCTTCGGTGACACTTCATCTGTGCCAACGATACTTGTCTCGGGGATCTTGCCTCCTGGCAGCTGTCCATCTGGATAAAGCTGCATGTTGAGAAGATATCTGTCAAGTACCTTGGTATTGTGATGAGCTTTCTTACAGCTAGCCATATCTTTCAGGCCAGCATCAGTCCTGGGAAACACGATGTAGTACCCATTGTCATCGACCCAAGTGCCAACAGGATTAAATCGCTGAATGTGCCATCTGATGGTTTGATAAGCAGCCAACGAATCACATATTTTGCCGGCAGTGAGGTGAATATGGGGACGACTTTTGAGTGACGGATGGACCGGGGGGAATTTATTCCAAGAGGTCGTAGTAGAGTTGCTTGTCGGTTCTGTTGTCGGAGTAGGTCGTATGCCTGTCACGGCTCGTGGAGGCGGCAGAGCGGGCTTGCTCGAAGTAAGATTTCGGACTGGGTGCTTGGGCGCTCCATGGTGCAATGCTTGAGGAGAACGTCGTCCTCCTGGAGATTCGCCTAGAGATGGATATCCGGGGGAATGAGCAAAGTGGGGTGACGAGGGTTGTCTTCGCGCCAATGATGGCGAATGTTCGCGCCTCAAAGCAGCGGCGTTCTTAAAGCTGAAGTCATCAGGACGGTCGGGTGCAGAATTGGAGCGATCCGGGGTTCTTGGAATACGCGCAATCGTATGCCGACCTGTCTCAGCAGGTGGAGAAGATCTGCGTTCCTCTCCACCGAGTCGCTCTGAGTCGTGATGTGGCTTTTGTTGGTGGGCTTGTCGATTGCTTTCTGGTGGATCATACCAGGTCTGTTTCGGGAAAAGTTCTATAGTTCTATCGCTTGCCTATGAGGTGTAAGTGCCGTTCTGTTTGAAAGTGACAAAAGCAGGAGTGATGTGTGATGTGCGTCTCAGATCTTTTCAGTTTTTGATTTTTGGTCGTCAAGTGGGCTTCAAAGGCTGCATGCGAAAGCCGCAACCATGAGGAACCGCGATCAGCCCTTTTACCAGATGATCATCCTTGCGAGAATTGAGCAGTGTCATGCAGCACCCGACTTACATTATGGAGGAGTTTGGAAGTTCCATTCCGCTCAATTTCATGGTCGTCGTCTCCTCCCGGTCGCGACAGACTGTGGTTCAGCGCGCGCTCCCGATCCGCATGCATCGAGGCGAGATTCTAGCATCAGTGCTGGAGACAGCATCTGCATTGGAATGGAAGTGTGTAGCGGAGGGCAACAAGCTTTGCAGGTCGACAGGAATGCGTCGTGTGTGCTAGCCTGCGACGAGCTGAGTTGCATGTGACACGGCGGTGCAGGTGTAGGTGTGGGTGTAGGTGTGGGTGTAGGTGTGGGTGTAGGTGTGGGTGTAGTCGTTTGAAAGTCGAGAGTCAATTCGAGACTCGAGGTCGAATGGAAGTGGACAAACGCGCACGGATCAGCCGAGCCGGATGCTGCCGAGCCAACCACAGCGGCCAGGGATAGAACCACGTGACCACCCTTGCAGTATACCGCAATGCCCCAGCCTCCTCTCCTCTCCTCGCCTTATTGCAGTCTACAGATCGAGGCTGCACGTCTGACTTGGTCTATGGCCAGCCTACCTAATATTGCCGAACGGTTGATTACTCAGCCATATACCGTGTGGGGGAGATTGCCTCGGGGAAGTGGAGAAAGGAGTAGCGACTTGGCTTTCACACTTGATTACTTCCGTACACCTCCCTATGCAGCACAGCCTCCCATTCTTGGGAATCGACGTGGAAGCTGTCCCACGGATCCGTAAAGGAGATGGTCGACATCCAGCCGGGCCACAGAATATCTACTCAAGCTCATCATCCTGCAAGAGCAACCCAGACCCTCCGGCGCCTTTGTTGCAGAGGAGTTACTCGGGGACAGCGGCCGACTGTGTGAGATATATGGTCTTGTCTCACCGAAAGACTCCAATCTTCCCCGAAACTTAGCTCTCACTCAAAAAAGCTGGACGAGCTCGGCACCATTATTGTATGCTATGGAGGGCGTCGAAGAGGATACATGGAGCTTGATCAGAAGTTCCAAGGCTTGACGACCCTTCTCGAACCATGCATCAAGAGACTTGCTGTGCAAATTAGGCAATGTCTTTGAACCAAGATCACTCGATCAAGGAGACGTGGTGTTGGTATCACGTCGAGTACACAACGGCCAAGAGACCTTAGCTTCTGCCATCAAAGCTGCACAGTCGAGCACATCGCACTATCAAAAGCAGCAGCATCATCAGAATCAAGGCTGCAACCATAGCGCTGCACCGGATGCATGCGTTGTGCTTGGACTGCTCGTCTTCATCGAGCGGAGTAGTGTCATGGTGTACGGGCGATTGCTACCTCGCCACGGACGAAGTGTGGGAGAAGGGTCATACGGACGCTGCAGGGGCGAGACCGTCGAGCAACAGGCTCGACCATCATCATAGCTACTACCCTGGCGGCTGTTGATGAGGTCTCTCTGCTCGCTGTTATCATCCCAAATCTTCATCTCTTTTTGTAAAGACTTTCGCCGAGTCTCGCAGCGTCCATTGCCTGATCATTGATGACATCCGCCTTCTCAGCGCCGAAAGCCAATGTTTGTTGTGTCCCGCACGCTGTGACAACAATACTGCCGCTGCTGCCGCTCTCTTGATGACGAATGCATGAGGCTTTCGAGCCAGACATCCTCTTTCTCCGCATTTTGCTTCTATGAGCATGAAAGGTGGTGCCATGCTGGGGAGTATCTGCCGATTGAGCGAGGGTGTTTCTCGATCCGTTGAATGCGTGACGCCAAGCTCTCTGGCAATTGGCTTACGGTGGGCTGAGACACGATGGGAGCACGATCGCCACCTTCTCGGATTGCGGGTTTCGGTGGCATCGTTCAGGTGGCTGTATCGACCCTCCGCCAGCAGGTTGTGTTTGTGGCGGAGCTGTAGTTACGCTGCGTTCGATAAGTCGGGCAAGGCAAGCCAGCTTCCGCTTCATTGAACCCATGAAGTCAAGCTCACGACTAGCTGGTCAGCGATGGCTCCTGGTGGTTCACGGCGCTACAAGAGCACAATCGCCCCATGTTCCTATTCCATACCAAACCTTGACGATGTTGTCCGGATATCTGTCTCAATCTTCCGCAAGCAAGCTGTATCTGTGCGAGAGGTTCTGTTGAGCCGTACTGGCTAAGTCGGTCGAAGAAGGGACTTGTACTCTGTTGGAATCCACGGCGTCAAGCTCATGGTTGGCTGTCTGATAGCATTTGTTCCTTCAAGGTACAATTCCCACACAACCACCACCTGCGCGAATCGTAAGAATTGGTGAGGCTCTTCCGATGGCTGTATGAACCTTGCGCCGGCGAGTTGTGTCTGTGTGAAAGGTGTTGCTAGGCGGTATGGACCGGGTCGGGCAAGACAAGTCGGCTTTTGTCTTCTTGAACAACGCCAAGCTCACGGCCAGCTGTAGCATTCGTTCCTTCGAGGCGCAATCACAGCACAATTAACCACTGTGCGGATCGCCAAAATCGATGAGGCTCTTCCGATGGCTGTATGAACCTTGCGCCAGCGTGTTGTGTCTGTGCGTAGGGTGTTGGTAGGCCGTATGGACGGGGTCGGGAAAGACAAGTCGGGTTTTGCCTTCTTGAACAACGCCAAGCTCACGGCTAGCTGTAGCATTCGTTCCTTCGAGGCGCAATCACAGCACAACTAAGCACTGTGCGGAGTGCCAAAATCGATGAGGCTCTTCCGATGGCTATGGCCATCTTCCGCCAGCATGTTGTAATCGTGTGAAAGGTGTTGTTGGGTCGTTTAGGATGAGTCCGGCAAGACTCGAAGCCCGCTTTCATCAGCTCTTGCCTCCGAGTCGCTTTCAAAGGACAACCAGCACGAAGGATTGAAAAGCTACAAAAAGCGACACAGCCACCAACAACGCTCTGTGATGATCATTGAATCAATGGTGAGGGTGTGTTGATGGTGTTCATGCTTGTGACGTCCAAAAAAATATTCCCTCGAGGAGGCTCGAACATCGAAACCTCCCGAGGACAAAAGAGCTGCGACAGGAACACACTCTTCCACCTCTTCCAAAGGGACAGAAGAATGGCAAAAAAGAATGGAGCTGATGCTCGGAGCTGATGCTCAAATGCCAATAACCACTGCCACTGCCAACCGCCTGAGCCAAAGGGTAAAGAAGGGTGTTTGTTACCATTGAATTCATTAGACCATAGCGGCCATGAGAGCTTCTGCTCTTCTGATTGATGAAAGGGCCGGCTTTTTTGCGCTTATGAACCTCAAACGCCTTGGGGTCCAAGCGCTGGAGTACTTTGGATTCACCTTTGCTTTCCTCGACCTCGACACACGGTCTTCGAATGGCTTTCGCTCGAGGTACTACTACAACGAAAAAGATGAACAATCTGCTTCTTTACTCGCAGGGCGCACTGCGTCGTAGCTTTGCCTGGACAGTTGCTGCTTGCAAGCAGATATCGCGTGGCTGATCGGCCTTGGGAACGGGCAGTGACCTATCTGACAAACGCATCGCCGAGCTACGACGGCAATGCTGTACTTGGGAAAGGTAGAACGCGCAGCTGACAGTGACCTGAAGCGGTCCCTCTGTCGCTACATTGCATGTAGGCGATATTGACCCAATTGCCAGAGCATTTGGACCGTCATGATGGCAGCGATGATCGCTCGAGCCCCCGACATCACAGCAGCAGCATGCTGACAGCACAGATGGCTTGATCTTGGCCTATCCGATTCGTACCGACCGAGCGATGAGCAACCGATACTCTCAGCCGCCGACGCCTCAGCATACCGTACGCCATGAGGACAGTATGATGCGCCCCTTCTGCTACTACGCCGCTCCGCTTTGACACCATCGAGTTCGACCCGCGTCGCAAACATGCCGACGGCGAGCAACAACGGCAGCGCCTGGCACGACCGATTGTGAGACATGGAAAACTAGCCAACAACATAGGGATCGCAATAGCATCTCCAAGACAGCCTGGCACGCACCGATCGAGCGACGAGCAATCGACTCCTGCAGTCGCCGAAAGCACACCATCCCATACAGCAGGAGAATGAGATACCTAGCCGCTCGTAGCACCACGCCAGAGCGCGTCAGCAGCGGCAAGTCGAACCATCTTGTCGAAGCATACCGGCGACCGGCGACAGCAATCGCAACAGCAGCGACCAAAGTAGCACTCGAGGTCACAATGGCGGCATAATGACAGCGCGTACATCGTTTTCATGGTCTGGCGCACGCCTGACAAGCGACTTAAGACTGAACGAACGTCCGACTCGCAAAGTCATCCGTAGCAGAGCACATCCCGTGAGAATGATCGGTCAATCGCTTTGATCATCATGCCATAGCCTCTTTGTACGTGCAAGTCTTTGGGAGCTCTCGTCAAAGCAGATCGACAGCGAGCGCCAGAAAAATACTGGCTTTGGGACCATCCTCCGCTGGTGCTTCTGTCACGCCTTGAAGACCTCCGATTACCGAATTCAATGCTCAAAGCCGCGGAGAGCGAGCTGCTACGACTCGGTCGACCAGCGAGAATGGCTGTATCGCCACAATAGCGACGAGGATACACTCGACGGCCTGGAAGAGCTCGCGAAGGTGGAAATGATGCTGAAGATCCGGGGTGTGTCAGATCTCTACAAAGCCGACAGTGTAGGACAAAGAGCACACTTGACAACGCTCATTGAAGGCCCTCCAGACATGAATGCTTTGGCAAGGATAATGCATTCGTGTACGATGTCATCATTTCGACAGCGACGCCTCTTTTGGCAATGAGCCATCACCCAGCAAGTTGCAACATCAAGGCAGAATGGCAGATGTCTTCGCAGCTCCATCCATGGTCAGGATTTGCACATCGGCAGAAAATCCAAGCGGAGGAGGACAACCGAGCGGCGTTCTCGAGATCAGATCCTGCGAACGCGTGCGTCTCGAAATATCCATCCATACCATTGGTAGCCTCCACCAGTGACTGTCACGGCCTCATTGCCAACAGCACCACAGCATATGCCATGAAAAGCCAACTGGAAAAAGGGAGAGAGCGGCGAACTGAAGTCAAAAGACAATGGCTGAAGAGCATGATGCAGGTTAAGGATAGTAGGCTGGGCTTGCTTGCACACCTTGTGGACCGCAGCCTTGGATCGCGAAAGGCCCAACAGCTCAGTCGACGCCGTGGAAAATGTGCGGCGCGCGGGAAGCACTTTCATGGCAAGTCTGCATGGTATGCATAGCCAAGAATCATGAGCTTCCAGATCGATGCCACATATCGCTCACAAGAAAGAGGAGTGCAATACGATTCCAAGACTGGGCTTGGCTGCGGCACCAAGACGTACAACTGGAAGTTCAAGTACTGAACACATTTTCCTCAAGCCTCGCCTCTTTACATCGGAAGATTGATGAGCATCATCTTCAATTCTGATGCTGATTCGGTGCCGACCTCAGCTCCTGTATTAAGGCAATGCCGCAGCGATGACAAAAAGGGCCGGCATTTGGTACTGCTGTCGTCGGGGCAAATGAGCCTACGCTGGAATGTTGCTCCTTTCACTCTGGAGACTGTGAATGCAGTCTAACAGTCGATGGCGCACTCCTCTCGTCACCGAGACTGAGACAGGCAAATGGACCACTAAACTTCGATTTGTGTGCTGAGTGACTCCGGCTTTCAGAGACCTCAGACAAAGCGGTGGAATGGACAATCAAATTATGTTGCGGTAAACCCAAGAGCCGGTCATCTCCCTTTGTCTGGCAAGCGCCGCCAGACATGCACCGAGCCTACCAAGAGCCAAGAATCGACTGCTTTGCCAAGGAGAAATCACTGACAGCGGAGAATGAGCAATCCTGCCTGTCGACCAATGGAGCCCGCTGGACATGATAGCGTGAGACTTGTTGGCGAAAAGCTATCGCTTGCTGCTCCTTTACCGCAGTGTTCTGGAGCCTTGTGTCTGATCTGGCAACGCGTGCTTACCAGCAGGATGTGGCCTGGTTCTTTGGACAATGAAAACACCTTCCATTGGAAAGTCCAAGGACGGATGCAATGTGTCACAGCAGTCCGCCACGAGAAGTGCCTGTCATAGTTGATCCCCAAGCAGAACGTATATCCAACTGCCGGTCGACTTCAGCAGGAACATGCTTCAGCAGAGTGACACATTCAGTACAAAACTCGGAGTGCCATTCAAAATTTCTGCTTAAAGTCCGCTTTGCATTCATCGGACCTTCGAGAATGAGTGCTGCTACGGAACACCAGAGCTTTCCACTGCCTTCCTTGGCCGATGAGACATGTTGGAGCCAATTGCCACCAGGTGTAATCCGACCGATACATCTCTTGCTGCCCACAATGCTCTTTACCAGGCCGTCCAGCGCCTCTCGCTCCAGTCTCACTGTACGCAGAGGTGCTGCTCAAACTCGACAGGCGACCGTGGTACTCGTTCGGCCGAGGAAGTACTCTCGCCATGAAAAGCCTGTTGATGCTCCGTGTCGCTGAGGCCGTGCCGACTATGATGTTTTGGGAGGTGGCGGGAAGATGGTGATGGTGGCGCCCAATGATGATGTTGTTACTGCCGCTCGTCTCGGTCGGGTGTATTCGGGCGGACATGCTGTTGTCGCCGCCCACGTCGCCAATGTCGCGCTGGTGGTCGCCACCGCCGCCAGCTACTGTCTTGGCTCGTTGAGGTTGATGAAGTTGTTGTAGACGCCCCGAAGGATGGCGACGATGATGATGTGAAGGATGTAGTATTCCAGGATGGTGCAGAACCAGTAAAGGGCGTCCATGGCTGCGAGGTGCTCGATCGCTGCAAGTCAGCTGGTGGTGTAGTTGCGTGGTAGGCGTTCGAGTGGCGCAGACGCGAAGCAGTGTCGAAATGGCGATGCGGCGATGGACGATGGAAGATGGTTCGTTAGAGTCTTGCACGCGCACTGAAAGACGAAGGATATGCAGCGCTACTGGATGCTGTCGTCACTGACTGAGTGTAGCAGTGGTTAATGGCGCAGGTCCTACGAGCATGCGTGCGGCGACAGATGAGCGGTTACGGTCAGCTCACGAACAACAACACAGCACAACTCATGACGCGACGATAAGAGGCCAAAGAACACAGACAGCACTACAACAACAGCAACGGCGATGATGAGCTTCCTCTCCGTGGCGCTGCCAGTGGCAACGACATGATGAAAAAGTATGGTGGGTGCCAGCAAAAATTACACCGATGCCGCCCCCGAAGGGACGGCAACAGGTTTCGAGCACCACGGTGTGCAATGCAGGCTCATCTCCTGAGCAAAGCCCATTCATGAGCGAGCTCGCTCGGTAAGGTCTGTGAAGGAGTCAGTGGTGTGTTGCCAAAGGGTAGGGGTGGATGTGGTCGGACTCACAAGTATGCCCTCAAATTCAGGGGAATCAGGGGCTTTAAGTACTATTTGGCTCGAAAGCCGTGCTGACAACTCAGAACGGGCTTTTCTTCTGTTGTGAACTTGCACCGTTACACCGTCGGCTGGAGGTGCCCAGGGGCCAGAGATCTGCCTATACAAGGCCAGCGCCAGCTCAACACCTTCCAGAAGTCTCGCACAAGCACAAGAAGGCATCTAGCCGCGAGTCTAGAAGCATCTCGGTCATCCATTGTAGGTGTCAATGGTTGCAGGCTGGAAAGTTGTGGTGATACTGACTGACGTGCGCGACAGCTAGGCCGAACTGTTGCCACCGCCCACCCAACACCACCCAGAAGTCTCGAGAACGCACATGGACACGCTTAGCTGCGACAGTGGAAGAATCTCAGCAATCGCTATCAAGTAATACTGGTTGTAGGCTGGAAAGTTGTAAGGATACTGATTGATAGCGCGACAGCCAGCCTGTCCGAATACCACCACCGCACTCAACGCCATTCCACACGCCACCCATCCGTCCTTTGGCATCGCTCAAAGCAGCACGTGAACACCTACTCTCTCCGTTTCTAGAAGACAGAGCAGCTCGACGCCAACTTCGAGACCGTCGACCTGAAAAGGCCCAGTACGAGTAGCAGCTTGCCACCGCCGCGTTCGCCCGCTCAGCAACCACTACGTCAGTAACGGTCTCGACAGCACCACTATCACAAAAGCCCGCTGTATGGCATATTAGAATCAGCAGAAGAAGGTATGAGGCCATTACAACTATGTACTGAGCATGTGGACTTCTGTCCCGTCCTGCAAAACCACTTGTGAAAGACCCACCCCTTCCCCTTCTCCCAAATAAGCTTGCCAGGCGACACTGACACACCCTCTGCTTAGCTATCTTGCAAAATGCCCTCGCACACAACGACAATGCAGCGCCCAGACAGAGCCACAGAGCTGCGCGAACTCACGCGCGGAGACCGAGAGCGTCTCGCTCGCTGCCCGTCTGCGCCCGCAACGACTTCTGCCGCCGCCGAGAACCAGGAACCAGTCCGCGCCCCAAGGCACCGCATATGGATGAAGCTTCTTTGCTCTTGTTTTGGTCAAGGTTAAGTGGATTGGCTCGCAAGTTACCAGATAGCTCAACGAGACTCAGCCTTCGACGCACATGAAATCACTCTGCTACATACCCGTGTCGAATAAATGTGGGGAGAAGGTATAAGAGTTGCTGCGTGAAATCGTGATTGTTGGAAGGAGATGCTTGAAACTCACACCACTGTGACTCTGGCCTCCCTGTGGCAAGATGCTGCTAGCTGCCCTTCTCGCTCTTGGTGGTGGTCATGGTTGAGATGAGAAGGCTCTTCGACTCGGTGCACACCTTCGTGAGTAGTAGATTGAGAACTCCCGAAGCTGACTCTCTGTGACTCCGGTCTCGTCCTAGCACGATGCTCATCGCTGCCCTGTCAGCCCCGATAAGCTGTGCTGGATTCAGGAGCTGTGTTGAGCCTTCTCGCGCTGGGTTCTGAACTTCATACTAGCGGAGCGTGCGCCCACACTATGCAGCCATTGCTCCAAACAGCTTGAAAAGAGGCCCACTGCTACACGGAGTAAGACATGATTTGGAGCCCTGTTGAGTTTCGCAGCACTGGGTTCGGTTGCCTGCGGGTGGTGGCAACCCTCTCAATACACACTTACACCATACCAGCGACTGGTGTTTGGGACATGGAAGAGACTGGGCATATGACGGAGAGGGTCACATATAAGATTCATGTGAAGTATTGTAGCGCTGAGCTTCGGACACTCGTGAAAGATGGCAGTCCTCTCAGCATGGGCAGACACCTTGCCAGCGACTGGTGTCTGCAGCTTGAAAGAGGCCCGCTACTACAGTACACGGAGCGGAAGGCCAGTGAAGACGTGTAGCATATTTCGAGTGTCACCGAAAGCCAATCCAAGTCTCAAGATCCGGTTGACGTGGATCTCTACGCTCCACCATCGCCAGAGGTGAAGCAGAGCACAACTGCCAAGATCCATCAGCAGCTCCACCAAATGCATCTCCGCACTGTCGGAAAAGCGCGGAAAAGCCAGACTTTGCGCTGCTCAATGCCGAACATACTGTCTCCGCCTCACAGCGCAACGATCTCCGACTATGGTATCTTTGCCAGCATCTGCGGAAATGGAGACACCTACTGCGTACAGCAATTGTAACTTGTGCTCACATATATGTTCGATGGACCTCGTCCGATGTCCGCATCATCATCAGCGACAGTCAACAAGATGGCGGCGACAGTACTGCAGTCAGTGGCGACACATCCACCCAGCTCGAAGGCAACAACTGTGCGGGAGGTCGAGGTGTATAATGACGAACTGGACTTGGAGACAAGGGAAGCACGTACCGTGGACGAATTGATTAAGCTTCGTTCTGTTCAGAAAGGCTGCAATGAACCAATCATCTCCTACCCGAAGTCTGGAACCAACTATGTCGACTGTACGCCGAAACAATTAGATGAACTGGTTGAGCAAGCAGCTTGTATCTACTCCGCAACGGTGCCGCAAAGGATATCTTCAGAGGATCCGGTCCAAGTGGTCGGTATGCTCGGCGACTCAGACTTGAGCTACCTTGTATCCCTTCTAGCAGTATCTCGACTGGGTCACACAGCCCTACTGCTTTCAACTCGGATCACAGACGAAGCATACGAGAGTCTGCTGTCCACGACACGAGCTACTGCTTTGCTCTACCGCGCCTCGTTCCAGACAGCCGCAACGACAGTGATCGCGAAACTGCCGGGTCTCAAGACAGCACATATCATCGATACATCGACTCTGAGCACGAAATCTGCGAGACTAGCACTCTCGATCCTTGATCCAAAGCGTGAGACTAAGAATCGCTCATTTATCATTCACTCGAGTGGCTCTACAGGATTGCCGAAACCAATCTTTCAGACTCACAGCGCTTCGCTGTACACCTACTCACAGCACTTCGGCCTGGTTGGATATCTTACACTTCCCCTCTACCACAATCATGGCATCTGCTGTACCTTCCGAGCCATTCACTCGCGGCGAAAGATCTACCTCTCCAATGCCAAACTTCCTTTGGCCACGAAGCATCTCTTGGCGACCTTCAGGGAGCATTCGGACATCAGAATCTTCTATGGTGTACCCTACGCATTGAAGCTTCTTGCAGAGACGGAAGAAGGCATTCAGCTTCTGACGCGACTTGACATCGTCATGTTCGGTGGCTCGGCCTGTCCAAAACCGATCGGAGACAGCTTAGTCGAAGGTGGAGTGCACTTAGTTGGCCATTACGGAGCCACAGAAGTAGGCCAGCTCATGACCTCTTTCCGGGATTTCAGTAACGATAAGGAATGGGACTGGCTACGAGTGCCAGAGCGACTGCTCCCGTATCTGAGCATGGAGCTGCGAGGTCCCAATTTATACGAGCTTTGTGTCAATCAAGGCTGGGGATCCAAGGTTGCGACCAATCGAGACGATGGGTCCTATGCGACCAAAGATCTCTTCGAGCCACATCCAAGCAAACCCAACACTTGGCGATACTACGCGCGATTGGATGACACGATTGTGCTTGAGAATGGCGAGAAGGCAAATCCCTTGCTCGTCGAGGGAGTGCTTCGCCAGAACAAGAATGTTGCAGAAGCTGTGGTGTTCGGAGCCAACAAGCCACGACTTGGAGCTTTCTTGATCCCGAAGGAGGAAGTGACGCTTTCAAGCAAGGAAATCATCGACTCGCTCACGCCGGCGATCGCAGACATGAACAAGAATTTGCCGGCCTATGCCAAGCTCTCTCGGGACATGATCAGGGTGCTTCCAGCAGAAACAGAGTATCGTCGTACTGACAAGGGCACTGTGATCCGCGCGGCGTTCTATCGCGACTTTGCTCCGCAGATCGATGCCATGTATGTCGACGAGAAAGGCGGATCGTTGCGGCTAACTAGGGACGAGCTTCTGGCGTTCCTGAGAGCAGAACTCGTTTCGAAGCTCGCTGCAAAAGGAGAGCTTTCTTTCGGCAATGACACCGATCTCTTCTCACTCGGTGTTGATTCACTGCAGGCTATCCAGATTCGCAGTCACATCCTCAAGCACATTGACCTAGGAGGCCAAGAGCTCGGACGAAATTTTGTCTTCGACTTTCCGACTTTGAATAGAATGGCAGACGAAGTTCTCCGGCTCCAGACTGGAAAACCTGCATTGGCGCAAGTGAGCGTTGAAGATCGCATGGCAGCGATGGTGGAGAAGTATGGCACATTTGAGAGCCATGTACCCATGGAGCGTCAAGCGGATGGCGAGTTCGCACTTGTCACGGGTGCAACTGGCTCTCTTGGTGCCCACCTCGTCGCACGTCTGGCTTCACAGAAATCAACGCGGAAGGTTTATTGTCTTGTACGAGCATCTGACACTTCTTCAGCGACAGCTCGTGTGGAAGAGTCTCTTCGAGCCCGTCGTGTGTTCGAAAGTCTCTCTCTGGAAGCACTTCAGAAGATCGTCGCCTTCCCATCGGACTTTGCTGACGCTCATCTTGGGCTTAATGACGAGACTTTCAACGAAATGGCGTCAAACATCACTCATCTCTTCCACTTGGCGTGGTCTGTCAACTTCAACAAAGGTCTTGAAAGCTTCGAAGCCGATTGTGTCGCTGGCACTCGGAATCTGATCAACATTTGCTTGAAAGTAAAGCGGCCGGAACCTGCTTCCTTCAATTTCTGCTCTTCAGTGAGCGCCACCGCACGTACATCAGGAGGCGTTGTACCGGAAGCCCTCGCAGAATCACTTGGCGTTGCTCAAGGCATGGGCTATGCGCAATCGAAGCTTGTGACTGAGAACATCTGCGACCGAGCGGCAAAGCAGACTGGTCTCAAAGCTCGCGTACTGCGAGTTGGTCAAGTCATTGGCGATACTCAAAATGGTGTATGGAACGCTACTGAAGCGATACCCATGATCCTGCAGACTGCCAAGACTGTTGGAGCCCTGCCAACACTTGATGAGCGACCATCATGGCTCACAGTCGATACCGTCGCCCAGGCGTTCATTGACATTAGCACGTCAGGCGCAGACGCAACTTTCGTCAACGTCGTGAATCACAATACCTTCCATTGGACGAAAGACTTTCTCCCCTTGCTAAAGCAAGCAGGTGTGGACTTTGAAGCTGTTGATCCGAGAGAGTGGCTCACACGACTGAGATCCTCAGACCCTGATCCAGAGAAAAACCCTCCAATCAAGCTTGTTGACTTCTTTGCTAGCAAGTATGATACTGACGCTGCGCGCCCCTCGCTGGAATATAAGACAGATGTGGCGAGGAAGTGGTCCCCTGCTCTCGAAGACGCTGGCGTTATCGATGCAGAGCTTGTTGGAAAGATCGTGGCATATATGCGGAGCATTGGGACCTTATAGACTGATGACCTGGTGAAGCATTAGCTCTTGATACATGAGCAAGGAGCATAGCAGGTATCTTGGATACGGTTCCTGTCAGCCCGAGAGAGGCTAATATGCATAAACTTCTTTGAATATAATATCACTTGCCAACATCTCGTTCTTAGCTTCTACATCACTCACCCAATGAGCCGTAGTGCATTCATATTCTGGATCTAGTCTAGTAGAACCTGGCTACTTCTTCTTAGTCGCGAATTTCCCAGAATCAGGTCAACAGTCGTTTGTTATTGATGGAAGTTACAATTGCAGGCAATAGATAATTTCAATTGCCCATAATCAGGTCAACAGTCGTGTGTTATTGATGGGAATTACAATTGCAGGCAATAGATAATTTCGATTGCCCATCGAGAGACGACGTCAAGAAATGGACGAGAACCCCAGTCTCTATGATTTCCTTGCTCCCTTCTAATCTGTATCGGATACTTTTTATCTAAATAGTGAACTTCTCCTTGTTCTCGGCCGCAGTCTCCTTCGCAGCCTTTTGCACGTACTCATCACCGACCTCGTGGAAAATGTCAACTCCCCACCGAGCAGGGAAGTTGAACCTCTTGTGTCTCTCCAACGCATTCAATGCCTCATAATGCTCTGATGGGAGTTCCTTGACCTTCAAGTTCGCAGCGATTCTTGAAGGCGTGACAGACTTGGGAAGCACCACAGTACCTCGCTGAACACCCCATGCAGCCAGGACGGCACCTGGATCGAGGCCAACTGCCTTTGCGATTTCGTGGACCTTGGGATCGTCGACGGTTCGTGGCTCGCCGGTTTGATTGTTGCCGAGAGGTGAATATGCCTCGACCAAGATGCCTCTATCTTTGCAGTACTTTGTCAGCTCTGGTTGCTGGAGGTATGGGTGAGCCTCGATTTGGTTGACAGCAGGTACGACGCTGGTGTTCTTGAGGAGGTGCTCTAATCTCTTGATGTCGAAGTTGGAAACACCGACTGCCTTGACCTTGCCCGTGGCCACAAGCTTGGTCATGGCATTCCACGTTTCGGCGATCTTCTCGTCAGTTTGGTACTCGGTGTCGATATCGAAAACGCCATCTTCATTCAGTGGAAACCATTTGTCACCAGGGCGGAAGGCACTACCAACGTTAGCGAGAGATCCAATCAGCCAATCCGTCGGTCTTACACTGGCCAATGCATCAAGTACAGGTCTAGGTAGTCGGTGCCATAGTCCTTGAGTGAACTGTCCAAGGCTTTCTCAATGTCTTCCGGTCTGTGGTCCCGATTCCAAAGCTTTCCCGTTAAGAAGATCTCATCTCTCTTCACTCCTGATTTCTTGATACCGAGGCCAACTTCATTCTCGTTGCGGTAGATTGCTGCACCATCAATGTGGCGGTATCCCTGCTTCAACGCTTCTTCAACAGCTTTCTCGACCTCGTGGGGAGCAGCTTGCCATGCTGAAAATTCAGGTCAGTGGGGGTGACACTCTCTAGACTTTTGGCGACTTGCTGCCAAACCCAACCTGAAAGCAATGGGAATAAGGGTCAGCAATAGTTCATACGATAGGCACTCCCAAACACCGCGCGGAGACAGTGCTGCCATCTCTGACATCGCTGGCTCGGTCGTACACATATGCACGGAATCATGCCTTATACACTAGGGCATACTCACTGCAGGTATCTTAGCTCCGGTGTTGAGTTGAAAGGAGTCAGCGAGAGGCATGCTGGGCGTTTCAATCGGGGTTTCGGATGGTAGACAAATTCTTGTTAAGGATTGCGGGAAGAGAAGGGATATAAGAGAATCAAAAACCTCGTTTCGACGGTGACAGTGCCCCTCCAAACATCCCACCTTGGTGGCCGAAAATATGCTTGTGAACTCAGATGCCGGAGCGACGCCGATGTCGTGCTCAGGGATGCGATATCCGCATTTCGAACCCCATAACTTCTTTTTTTATGAGAGCTCTTGGTCAATCTGGATGAGCCAAATCCGAGAAGCGCTTCCATATCGGCAAGCGTCGGCCTCTGAAGTTCATGCCATTTCCGCACACTTGATTCCATTTTCCGCCCAGCTTCGGAAATGCTCGGTTTGCTCGCAATACTCCAACTTGCGTGTCTTCTTCGGATGTCTGCCCCGGAGAGCAGTCTCTGGGATTGCGGGACGATGTGTGGAGCAGAGCAGAGCAGCATGGCATCTTTCTTGTTACTAAGAGCTGACAGAAAATGCCAAGCCCGTGGCCTCAGGCTTGTCTCCGGCTCATCCCGTTCAATCCGCAGCTTCACTTCCGCTCTGCGAGACGACATCACCACATCTCAGCACCCATCGAACCCCATCCGAGCTCCCTGTCAAAGTAATACCGCCATCAAACACCTGTCTGAACCATCACATATACTGACACCCACCGCGAAGATGCTCGCCCGCCAGATCGCTCAGCGCAACGCCTTCGCGGCCGCCCGCCGTAACTTCTCGACCACACGTCCTCAGTTCAGCTCGCCATACCACTACCCAGAAGGCCCACGAAGCAATATTCCATTCAACCCGCTCACCCGATTCTTTGCTGTGAGATACTGGACCTTCATGTGTATGTTGGAAGTGGCCGGGAAAAGCAGGAGGCAAGCGCTAACGAGTTTTGCAGTCGTTGGATTTGCTACGCCGTTCGGCATTGCTGGTAAGTATGGGCGCGGCGGTTGGAACTCCAGGTGTGCTAATCTGGTGTGCAGTCTGGCAGACAAAAAAGAACCAATAGATGGGTGCGGATCAGACGGGTATCGAGAGCAGAAGAGGCAAGGAGACCTGCAGAGAGAACATGGCGTAGCGAAACGGGCAGTGGGATACTCTCATATGTACAAATGGCATTCGAGAAATTTTGACACCAACGTCCCTCTCATGTGCCATCCGTTCGACGCCCTTGCTGTCACTGCTTCCGAACCGGGCAATTTCGTGGCACGCAAAATGTTGGAGGAAGAATGCCACGCCTCTTCAGCTAGCATTATTGGAGCAATCCCCAATATGCTGGCGATGACCTCAGGTGCTGAAGCCTTTGATATGGTAGTTGCTTTATCCGCAAACTAGTCGGTACATATCATTGCGCAGTTCCGGCGTGATGCCAAGGAGGCATGCGTCTGGATTCGCGGTTTTCTCGGCAGTCTCCATGATGGAGATTGGGATGTACCATGGTATCTAAGATCGTACGCAACGTTGGCAGTGATGCGCGAGCCACTCTCAATTGACGTGGACTGTTCTGCGGCATGTGGAGATGTGCGCTCTTGATGCTTTTTTTTGGTGGGAATGTTGGCAGTTTTGCTGCGATGACGAGATGCTGCTGCTGTAAAGTTGAAGCAGGAGATGCGACAGATTATGAGTATGGTGCTAACATAACGCACAGACTACCTGCGCCATGCCAAGCGCGTTCACATTCACTTGACACGAGATTAGATGCGTGACCTTTTACGCTTTACGCTGACCTCATCTATACAGTCGTCCTCTGCGCACTCTTCCCAGACTCGTCTCAGACCCAGCTCCAGATTCGCGACCATCGACACTCGCAATCGCAAGATGGCCCACATCGTTTCCAGGCTCAACGTCCCCAAGCCTTACTTTCATCTTTTGCAGTAATTTCGCTCGCTCCGATCCATTCATCGCCGTTCCGCCCCCGGGCACAGCAATATGCGGATTATCCCTTGTCGCAAGGCTAGAAACGTTGAGTAAGAGGTCAGGTGCTTTGTTGAAGAAGCATCTGATCATGGGCTGAATCAGACATGCCGCGATGAGAAGTAATGATGCTGCACATAGTGTGATTGCCCAGCCACGATGGCAGACGAAAATTTCAAAGTGGGCTATTTCTTGTCCTGTGACGGTCGACGAATTGCCCAGGAAGAGGTCGTGAGTGTTCCCAGCAAGTAAAGCCTGGGTCATGTTGAAGGTATGGTCTGTCTTTCCTGTGGCTTTGGCTTGAGATAACGCCTGGAATGCTGTCAGGCTGGTCCAATATGCGTTGATCAATTGGCCCATGCGGATCTCATAAGATGTCCTGGTGACAGGAAGACCGGGTGCGGTTTTCTTGCTCAAGAGTGCTGCCAGCACGTCTAACGGGCTGTCAGGATCGATTAGGTAGCATTGCACTGCGGTGGGAAAGCCAGAATTCCCCGTGCTTGAAGTGACAAAGGCCGCAGAGAAGAGACCCCAATTGAAGTTTGTGGGTCCATTTTCTCCTTCCATATGTGCATTCAACACTGTTTGCGTTGCTGGTGGATGAGGCAGACGAGAGCGGCGAATGCTCCGAGCAGCGCAAGATGAGTCTGAAGGGCAGAGAACTTCCACTTCGACATACGTGGTCACGATCTCGCAGAACGACGATGCCTCACTGTACCAGTCGTAGTATGTGAAGTTACAAGGCGGCTCCGCGCCATCGAATTTTGGTGGTGTGCATGAGGTGTCGAAGCCAGCAATAGATCCATTCGTGAAGTCAGACGCGCCCCCACAGCTGGCATCGAAGTTCAGTGACAATGTGGTACCGGCACCTTTGAAAGTACTGCCATTGAGGGCGGAAGTGGGTTCTGATGAAGTCACATTGACACTCGGGCATTCAACGTGAAGATATGATGTCTCGGCCTTGAAGATGTGGTCTTTGCCGGGGAGAGTCGTATTGCTGGTTATCGGAACGCCGACGAGTGACGCGTATTGTATATCGGGGGCGCTGGTGTTGTACCATCCGTTCTGGTCAGGTCTACCAGCACTTTCGAAAGATTCCAACAAAGGCACTTTGAAGTTGCCCCAGAGGTCCAATGCCGAATGCTTCATGTCTGGGCTTGCGATCAGCGATGCAAGAAAGAGAGTGTTGGGCACGTGGAGCATTGGATACGATGATTGATTACCATAGTAGCCCAGCGCGTTCGAGGTTGGTGTCATGTAGGTGAAAGTCGCATTCGAGGATGATGTGTCGTTTCCAAAGCTGAGTTGACGAATTGATGCCTGACCTCCAACGGGTGACAGAGCCCATACTACAACAAGTATGATTCCCAACATGCTGATGACTCTTGAGCGTAACTGAGAGGTGACGGTACTGGTGAGGGATGTGCTCCCAGCGAGTAGATCCAGGACACCGAGACGTTCGCCTCTTTCCAGTCTCCAGAGAAGGGTCGTATGCGCTACGCGACCAATCACGCAGGCGAACAGGATGGGGAACACGCTCGGTCCCACTCTCGAGCCTCTATACAGCAAAGTCTTCACTCGAGGCCACTCGGCGGTCTCTTTCTGATCAAACCAGATGACTGCTAAAGCAAACTCGAGGAACAGAACCGAGAACGCAAGAAGGGCATGTCGACCAATGACTCGGACAGAAATGAGATGGCTGTGGTCTTGATGGCTTTCGGTGCAGTTGGCCAGCCCTTGACGTTCGATGATGTTGTCTGCCGAAGCAAAGGATTGGTGTCGCCATTCGATTCGATTTGTCCCAACCTGGCCTCTTTTAAGTCCACTGTGTCTCTGCTTTTGCTGTGCGACAATGCATTAGAGTATGTAGTGCTCCAGCTAGGCTGGCGCCAGGGTCTGGCATTGGCATCGGAAGTCATCGAGACGTCTCGCTGTGAAGGCTTCGAACATACTGGTATTGTCAATTGATAATATAGGGTTGAAGCTGGTCGGAATCTGCCATGTAGCGCTGTTGCGCTATCTCATCAAAGTGATGCAGACAGCGAAGCAAGGTGGCGCGGCAGTCGTTAGTAGTTTTGTTTGTGCCTGAACTGGCCCGGCAATAACAGAGGTAGCTTCCGACCGCATTTCTCATAGGCCAGCCTTGTTTACGTTTCGGACGGTATGCGTGCCGGGTGAATCAATATTTTGATCTATTTCTGATGCAAGCGGCGGCCTTGCGTCGTTCAACGTCAGCTATACAAAGTCAAGCGAAGCCGATCAGAGCAGTACTCAGCTGGCCAGGCTAAGTGAGTATTGGCATCTGAAACGGGAGGCTGCCAATTAAATCCGGGAATGACAACCTTTCCCCAGCACAGCCAGCATAGCGAAGGCAGAGCAGAAGCTGAGATCAGAGCTGAGGCGCAAGTCGAAGTGCTGCGTGTATTCCTGTAGGATTCGTGGCTGCAGGATGCCGGCTCAGCTCCTGCAAATGCAATCGCTTCGACGAATAGCTTCTTCAGCTGACCTCGCCCTCCCAGCCATCCTCTTGCAGAGATGTGCTGTCTGAAAGTCGAAACTCGAAAGGTTTTCATCGTTCCCTGATGCTGTTGTAAAGGTGAGCCTCGAGTTTGATCAAGGTTTTCATCGTTCCCTGATGCTGTTCTAAAGGTGAGCCTCGAGTTTGATCGTGTTAGCAGCAGTTTCGCGATGTTTCGCCGCGCAGATACTGCTGAACTTTGTATTGTATTGTATCCTATCCCAGCCCTTGCTGATCCATGTCTCTAAATTTTTTTCTGCTCACTGCGACGTTAAACACTTCACGCCAAATCGCTTCGCAAATCTGGTACCAGAAATGTGGAGGCCGGAACCGCGGGCTTCCAATAGTTGTTGAACAACATGGAACACTCCAATTAGGACCGCAAAGCCGAGAAACCCAAGCGCAACCATCGACCCTGTACCAATGTTCACGCCTGGGAGAACATTGTTAAGCAGTAGCTCGATAACATCTGCAGGCATAGTTGTCAATTCTGCCATATTTATGCCAGAATTATGCTCTGAAGGGCTTTCAAAAGCTGCCACTTTATTTAGCAAAAGATGAACAACAGATTGAAAGCTTCTGGACATTCGTCGTACCTTGCTCCGGTATCAGAAGTCCATCAATAATGTGAGCAACACCGCCGTAAAGCAGCAAATCGCTGCGAATAATTTCTTTCCCATTCACTGTCAACTCTACATCGCCTTGGTGTTCGATGGTGACAGTCGAGCCTTGAAGCGTGTCGTAAGTGGACTTTCCATGAGGAATGATCCCTTGGTATAGGACCTTGTGCGGTATAACATGGTATCGTAAAATCGCAGTCATCTGTTCGGTGGGCAAAAGCTTTATGAGCTGTTGAAGACCATGCAAAGCCTCATTGTGTGGTATCAGAAGTGTGACGTCGGCTTGACTTTCGAATTCCGGGATAAGTCCAGCCTGCTCAACAGCGTCAAGAAAAGTTGTAAGGTCGTTCACTTCTGCCGTCACCGAGATGTTCTGAGGTAACACCATGCTGGAGTTTAGTATGTGGATCACACCTTTATCGAAGATGACGTTCGAATGCTCCGAGCCACCGATGACTTGCAAGCCCGACTCAGTTACCACTTGTCCAGCGTTGCCTCTCGACAACTTGACAGCTGCGCCTTTGGTCACGTTTGTCAGCGCAGGTGGCACTAAGTGGCTGTGAGTGACAATGGCTGCTTTTCCCAGGTCATCGGCCATATAGACTCCTTGCAAGGCATGGTATGACAGGAGTGCTTTCGCAACCGGGGCTGGGACTTCGCTAACGTTGAAGCCCCGTGGAGCAAGATCGTTGTATGCCTGATTTGTTGGCGCGAGAATCGTAACGTTGGACAGAGAATCAAATGTTTCCAAAAGTTCGAATTGCTGGAGGAGCGAATGAAAGGTCGAAGCTGAGGACTCTGTATCAAGTGCTTTCTGAAGCGATTGGGATCGAGTGGCCGCAAGATATGCTATTAGAAGCAAGGGATATCTCAGCATATAGATGGCCATTTCGATATTTCCTGGCCCCAGCCTTGTCAGTAAGGTCCACCAGAGTCAGGCTTGCCAGAGTGCGACTTACCGATGGGATGATTGCCCTATGTTGAATGCAATTGCTCTCGGATTGCATTGCAGGATTTTCAGAGTTCATTGAGATATGGTTTTGAGGTCGTGAGCGATGCTTCAAATCTCGGTCACCGAATCCCGTCGCCCGCTCGCGTCTCAGTAGGCAATAAATGAAGTTGCTACGAAGTGACCGGTGGGTTCGAAAAGCTCTCAGGCCGCACGCTTTTGTCAAAATTGCCATCACAAATTATAGACGATGCTTTAAGCGTACAGCTGCTGCAAATCTATTCATTTCAAATGATCGAGATGGGTTGGCAGTGCTGGCTTTGCAGATTTTAGATCTCGTCATCAAGACGCGGAAAGGTGACTGTGTCGACTTCATCGTCGTGGAAAGTCCATTCGCCCGTGCCCACCCAATGCACCGGCATTCAAGCAAAGGATTCGTGGTGGGTAGAGGCGTAGGCTCTTTTCCATGGTCCACTGTTGCCGAGGCCGAGGCCGAGAAGCACTTGCCAGGGGACGGGGGACTCCTTCAACTTCGTGGACCCACCATGGCCTATATCGTAACAGCTTCGTAACATTGGAAGGAGTCAATAACAATACGTGGCTGGTATATCGATACCACGTGGAGGATGCTGGTGCTTGGCTCTTCCACCGCCATATACAGACTGATCTTGCAGGTGGTATGGCGGTCGTAGTTTTGGACGCAGTCGACGCTTGGCCGGAGGTGCCGGAGGTATACAAGGAGCGGAATGGCTTTGATGAGGGCAATGCGAAGGGCAGCGACAATGAAGGTGACGCGACATGTAAGGAGGATGTCGTTGGAAACGGACCCCCCAGTGGCGAAGTGAGAGAGATGCGCATAGGAAATGATACTCCTGCGCGAGGACGCCTGGCGACGATTTGACTTCACGTCACAGGGTGATCGATGCCCTTGGACCGGTCCAAACGGAAGGTAACATGTTCATGACCCACTGGGCAATCGCCGTTCACGATGAGGCCAGATCGCACGACGATGAGATTCAGGAAAGCGTGATATTTGTGTTTAAGAATGCTGAGGAAGCTTCTGATGAGCTCGGACTGAAGAGAGACTTCCTTGCTTTGACTTATGCTGATGGCTGGCACAGTGTGATGGGAGGCAGAAGTCCCGGGGTAATCTGGACTTGACGGCCATTGGATTGTGCGAGGACTAGCACACGCATCGCCGCAAGGGTAGTACATCGTAGAGGAGCCACTATGCAGATCAGAAAGTCCCTGAACGGAATGGGTATCATACAGTCTCAATGCGTATCTAAGGCCTGTCCGCTGCTCCACCTCTGGCCGTCTGTAGTTCCGCCTGCTCAGGCTCCTGTGTCTCCACTGCTGATGTTTCATCCACTCCAGAATATGCAGCTCCTGCTAATGCTCTCAAAGCTTGCGTCTCCTTCACAGCCCATAGTTTCCAATTCTCGAACGCTCTGTCCTCAAGCAGTTCTCCCACTTCTAGGGGTCCAAGACCGAAGTATGCACCCGTCGCCTGCGCCTCCTCCTTCGCCACGCGAAGTTGCACTTCCTTGTAATGTCGATTCCTGTATAGCTCTTTCCGTGCCACGTCGTACGCTGCAGGGCTGGAGAGTTCTGTATGCGTAAGAAGATATTGCCATCTTTGAATGACACTGCCACATGTTAGTATCTGGAATTGCCTGCGCATAGATCATTATGCCTACCTTTCTCCATTAATAGGCCTTGCGGACTGTTTCTGCATGACTCGATCCCAACCACGATGGTCGTTGCCGAATTCATCTGTATATCCAACCTTCGGCCTTCGCAAATTGTAGTCTAAAGGCAGACTCCAGTCCCACCGTTCTCGATCTCGTCCATCATCCTCAAGCACCACCCTCGGTCTGGCAAGCTCCCAGGGATGATCATTGTAGTACTCCCATCGTAACCGATCTTCTGCGTACTGTAGACTTACTGGTTTGAACAGTTGTGATGCCTTCTTGCCTGGTTTTTGAGGTCTTTGTAATGGTGGTCGCGAAAGTCGTGTCGAAGGAGGAATTTTGCCAATTACCGGATACCACGGTGGTGGTGCTGGCATCCGTTTCGCGTCTAATAGTAGTGTTGCTTGCTTGTGAACATTTTGGGGTGCGAAGTTGTATCGTCCCATGGCTGCCCTCTGAGTTTGCAAGCTATGTCATCGATGGCGACATAGTCTGATTTTGGTGTTTCAGTTGCAGTGGCAGCGAAAGGTATTCGCATATATGAAGATGTAGACCTGCAGTCAATGCCATGCATGTGCGGCGAGATGAAGACTCCCGAAGTCTAAATGTCTTGGCGCGAGCGAGCTATACACCCGACGGCTTCATCAAATTCATCTTTTCTCCTTATCTACGATCTCGTCTATGGGACAGGAATGCCAATGGTAGGCTAGTGGATTCATCTTCACAATGCCGGCCACTTCATGTCCCTACTCGCTTCCTTGTTTCGGCCTCATACACGCCAGTCAGCCACGAAGATAACCGCTCAGTCTATGGGCAATTGGATCACATGCCGGGAAGATGGAGGCGAAAAGCAATATGCACACAGCAGACCCAGTCGCGATGGTCGTGGAAGGTCACGGGAGGCATGGAAGCAACGAGAATACTTATTTGAGGATGCTTTCATACGAGGCCTGGTGGCGGCGGGAACTTGCAGAAAGCACAGAAGAATAGACACGGTCCGCCAGAGATCACACAGAAGGTCATTCACTACTGGGACGTATCGTAAGGCGGCATCAATTGCAGTGCCGGATGACGATCATAATGAGATCTCGCGACACGACTACGAAAAGCTAGTCGACATATACCCATCCTTCAACAAGTCCGCTACCAAGAAAGTCTCGAACGGACTAGTCGGGCAGAAGAAGCATGGCCATTTGCCATTGGCACCGCGACTCGTAATTACGCCAGAACAAGAGCTTTTGCAACCTCACTCGAAACGCTCGATTATTCCTCCAGAGGATGAACAGCATCGCAAGCAGCTCAAAGCGTTCGTGAGACTCCTCGAGCACAAACCAGGCATGGTGAACCTAGACAAATTATGGCGAATGTATCATGAGCTGCGGAGTCCCAGGCCCCGTTACCTCACCGATAATGTTCTCCGTCGTGCTCTGCGACATTTCGGATGGGTCGAGTTCTGGCACCAGCCCAATGCCATGCAGAGATACTTTCAGGTGCTGAACGACTGTCTTGCGGAGAATGTGCGCATAGAGATCAACCAATGGTCGACGGCAATATCTTTTGCCGGCCGTTGTGTGAGACATCTCACGAATAACGAGATCAGGCGAGCCATCGAGACTTGGATGCACATGGAACAACATGGACACGCAGCCGATCATGTCACATTCAACATTCTTTTTGACGTCGCTATAAAAGCCGGACGATTCGCACTTGCCGACACGATATTCAACGAGATCAAGAGCAGAGACATGCCCCTCGACAGATGGGCTCGCGGCAGTTTAATTTATTACGCTGGTTTAAGAAGAGAGGGCGATTCTGTGAGAAAAGCTTTTAAGGACTTCGTGGAATCTGGAGAGATCGTGGACACAAAGATCATGAACTGCGTTGTGGTCAGCCTTCTGCGATCTGGAGAGCCATCTGCCGCTGAGCATGTTTTCGAGCGCATGAAGAGCTTACATCATGACAAGTTTGGCACCAGAAGCCTGAGCGATTGGAGAGCAACGAAAGAGATGAAGATTCTGCTAAATCAAACGGCTAAGCAGCTGCGCAAGGAGAAGCAAAAGCATGAGACAACATTTTTCGGCGCGCCGTTCGCTTCTGACCAGAAACGCGATGAAATCCAGAAAGCGGCTCCCATCGCACCTGATGCTGAGACGTACATGATTTTGATTAATTATCACGCCTGCAGAAGTGGTGACATCGACAAGATCTGGGATCTGATGGAAGAGATGCGCGAGCATGAATTCCGTCCTCATGGCAGCACATACCTGTATTTACTGCGTGGTTTCCACGCTCACGGAGGTTATCCATTCTCGGCGTGGAATCATAGACGGCTTGAAGAGACTTGGCAGGAAGCCGTGAGATTTTGCTCTCCAAGTACATCTCCCGACATCAACACAACATTGAATGTTGATCAGAAGACCGATACCAGTCGCAGCGCATCTAGATCTGTCAATGTGCCGGACGAGGACTACGAGGCACTAGACGCGGCGCAATATGGCAATTTTGGAGATGACAATGCCTCAACCGTGGATACTAGCAAGTCCTCGGAAGATGGCGGCACAGCGGACGACGGTTCTATGGATATGCTTGGGGCAATGATGACTGGACGCCATGACTTGGCTGTAGAAACATCCACGAATCACACCGGGGAGCAGCCTTTCGAGTCATCTGACATTGATGCTGCTCATGACGTGTTGACTGTTTCTGGACACAATGAAACGGTTCAGCCGTCTTCCGGGAAGAGCGATCCCTTGCCATCTTCGACTTTTGTACCGATGGAGGCGAATGAAATCCGACAGCGCCTCGACCCCGCGCCCTCTGATCAAGATCCATTCTCGTCCTCTACTGGCTTTGGTTCCTTCGTCCTTCGTGGCGAGACCTTACCACAAGAACCTCTTGAATCACCAGAGATCAATGACTCGTCCGATGCCAACACAGATAGTGATCATTCTTCGTCAGGCGATGAGGATGCTGACTTTCGGCCATTCCTCGAACAAGATCGTACGGTCTACATGACGACGAGCTTCGGCATTGCGGCCATCCGTGCTTTCTACCATTGTATGGGAAGGAAGCGTATGTTGGCTGTGTGGGAAGAGCTCAGGACACGCTGGGTGGGCGAGCCTGACATTGATTGGTCGAGGATTGAGCAGGAAGTGCAAAAGTGTCAGGTTGATGCGGATAAGTATGTTGATGCTGCTGCAGATGGGCCATATCAGAATAGAAGCAATTCGTTCTGACGGTCTTGAGTGAGTGTACACACCGTACAGCGCCACGATATGAATGCAATATATCATAGTGAAGCCCTTGATTCCTTGCTCGATGCGTAGCTCGATAGGTCCGTGGGCACAAGACAACGCCTCGACGGAAAGCCGCGATTAGCAATGTACGCTCTTTTCAACTCTGCAGAAGACGCATCTTCAGTCATGGTAGCGTTTCAAGACAGCGAGCAGCCGATTCGCAAAGACTATGCTTGCCGTTATATACGATTGCGGACGAGAACTTTGATGCCAAGCCAGAGCAAAGCCTAGACGGCACTCTTCATCAGACGGGTGGGAACTACTATGAAGAATGATTACGTCGACTTGATTAATTAGATTAAACTAGGATTAGATAAGAGTACAAGCTTAAATAAACTAAAAAGTCCAAGCCTCTATCCGCCGATTGAGTGCAGCATAGATGATGATATTGAATAGAGGTTGATGTGATGAAAGGGAGAAATGAGCAAAAAAGATTTGCGTCGACTATCGCGCGCGATATTGACAAGAGTGACTGGAGCAATGTTAGGACATACTCCTTGCCAGTGAGACGCAGTGTGTAGCTTACGATTCGAACTCACGCCCTTTCGGACCACGGATTTGTGTTCAAGGTTGAGACCTTAACGTGGCGCCTTAGACCGCTCGGCCTGAACCAATGTTAGCGAATGATTGGATCATTCAAGATGGACTTGCGCTCACCATCTTGCCCATTGATTGGATGGAGAGGGAGTTTTTCCATCTGTACATGACACTACAGTCGAAATCGATGGTGCGTCTTGGCTTCCGAGATCGGTCAGCCGAATTGTGCAGGAAGTCCGATCCGCTCCGCGACTCCAGATGAAAGAGCTGTCATTGGAACAGCGGGGATACGATACTGCTAACCTGGTGATCCAGAGAAAGTCACTTGAGTCATCCAATTTCTCGTCAAATTTTGCATGGATGGGTGCCTTGTGCCCCGGAAGTGAGGTCGAATTCCTTGGCAGAACGCTAGCCTTTCTCGGAAGCTTCCCCCTTTTCCTGTCTCGACATCAACTTTCACACCCCCATCGACCACGACACTGAAGACGTCTTACAGTGCAGCCCGAGAATGTTCGAGTTCGACACTTGCATTGATAAAACGTTGGACGCGGTGTGCTGCTTCGCTTTTGAAAATACGCAGATACAGCCGGCAGTTGGATTAACTTACCTTGGCAACTTACAGGCCGTATATAGCACGAACAACAAACACAACAGCAGCTGTCAGCATCTGACAACAATATTCACCTCACGTCGCTCAAATTGCCTACACCGCTGTGTGTCTCACTAACGGCGCCTGAATTTGCAGCTTATGCGAATGCCACAGCAGTCCTCTGAAAATGCCTCGGTGTAACTAACGACAGCCAGGAAAAATGTATCGATCTTCTACAACAATAATGACAGATTGACCTCCTTCCGATCCTGATTGCTGTGCATAGCTGGCCCCCTAAGCCCTGAAAAGTTAATTTTGCTGCAAATGGCAGGAACCCAGCCTCTGCTGATGATTTTTAGGAGCAACACTGATGATAGACTTTCCATCGATTCGCGCATTCCCTGGCGAACGGCAGGCACAGGCACTGCTTGTATAAATCGTATTGTTTCGATGGCGACACATGATTGCCCAGATCGTGCCAAGCTCATTCCGGGGTCGCTGGCAATTGTACAAAGTAGTGACAGTAGTGACAGGCACCGAACCTGTTGAACAGTCAGGGCTCCGTTGACTACACGTACTCCCAAACGTGTGGCAATCATCCTCGAACCTAGCCGCCGTGGCGGTTCACCACCCTCGCATTCTTGGTCAGTATACATAGACCTGCCAACTCATCCTTTTCCACATATCTCACTGGACACTATCTCTTTTTCATCATTCGTCGGATGGTCATTATGTTTATTCGTAATCTTCAAGCGGTTCTACTCACAGCACTTGTCGCCCTCCATGCTACAGCAGCGCAGGATGCGAAGGCCGATGCCAAAGCGAAGATGGCAAGTTTGCAGGACTCGGCCTCGAAGATTGTACATGCGAACGCCGCGAAGGGAGCGACAGGGTGCACCAGCCAAAACATGATAATTCGCAAAGAATGGTACGTGTACAACTCGAGCGACAAAGATATGAACCTGAGCTGAACGTGTGTGTGTGTGTGTGTGTGTACAGGGGCGACATGAGTCGAGCTGAAAGGCTCGACTACATTCGAGCAGTCAAATGCCTGAAAACGAAGCCGGCAAAGACGGATCCAAAATATGCTCCAGGTTGCAAGAACCGATATGATGACTTCGTCGTCGCACATATCATGAACACTTTTACTGTTCACTTTTCACCCTGGCTGCTGCCTTTTCATCGGGTGTTTTTGTGGGAGTTTGAGAAGGCGCTGCGGAACGAGTGTGGTTACACAGGAGGTAAAGCAGTCATATGAAGGGACCAGTTGCCATGGAGTACTAACCAGGCTCTGCACAGGGCAGCCGTATTGGGACTGGTCCAGATATATCGGTCAGCCGATAGAGACATGGCCAATGTTCGATGGATCAGACACCTCGATTGGAGGAAATGGGCACGTCACATCTGGTAGTCAAGGGTGCAGCTGCGTGACTGAGGGTCCTTTCAAAGATTGGGTCGTAAATCTAGGACCAGTCGGCGAGGGTGTAGCTTGCAAGAGAAATCCACAGGATAATGGTCTTGGATACAATCCGCGCTGCCTGGAACGACAATTCGATTCATCATACTTGGCTAACCTCACGTACGAAAAGGTCCTTGCGCAAGTACACGACTACAACGGTAAGCAATCGCAGAGAACGTGTAAAGACATTGCTGACTGTCGCTTGAGATATCAACAACTTCGGCCTTGCGATTGAAGCTTGGCCAACGGGAGTACATCCGATCCCTCACATGCTTATGGGAGGACTTCAAGCCGATATTCCTGCTTCTCCCGGCGACTGCTGGTTCTGGATGCACCACAACAACCTCGATCGCTTCTGGCTATATTGGGCGAGTCTAGACTGGAACAAGCGATGGAATGCGCTGGGTAATTCTGACGCGTACACCGCATCGAGACAGGCGAACAGATGTGAGTTCGAAGACAATCCTCTTGTAATGAGGTGCTGACCGAAGTCCAGGGCCAGTTGCGAAACAAGTCTCAATGGACAGCAGGATAGTCCTCAGTCCTGCATTTCCAGAGTACAGAGTGGGAGACACATTCGACCCAGCAGGCGGGCCATTCTGCTACAATTACCAGTAGTAAGGATTAATCGCATCTTGTTTTGTACATATTGAAAGTTCTGCATCGCTCTAGTCACGCACCTTGGAGCGACGATATAGACCAAAGGACATTTCAGGCGTTCAGCCATACCACTTGAAATCGCTTCCGTCGGTCTAGACTTGACTACATTTACTGACAATCCAGGGGGTTGTTATAATTGCGACATCCGTGCACGTTTCGCAGCCACGCGTTCGCGGGTAAGCACAAGCAAGATTCCTGTTCTTGAAACATACCCCTTCACGAACGACCAACGAACTTTTCGAGAACTTCGGAACACGGACGAGATGGATTGATTTGACCGCACAGTCTTCGGTCGGGCATATCCAAGCCGCAATTCAAGCCATTTTCCAAGTCTTGCCACGAGCCAACACGAGCAGACGCTACATAGGAATCGAATTACAGGCGTGTCGAGACGGACAAGCGACGAAGACAATGGCCACGTTTGGAGTGCTATCAACCCGAATCTACGAAATTATATACGAAGTGCTGCTACAATACCACTCGAGCAAAGCAGCAAGCTATGTCCGTCCATGGCCTCCTACCGAAATTGATTGAATTTTCACGTTCAGAAGAGGTGTTTCCACCATCCACATGCATCTCGTTGTCGTGCCTTCACTCGCAGAACGAGCAGTTCTACACAGCTTTGCTTGTTCGCGATGAGTCCCATACGGAAGTGAATAAGATGCGCATGTGAATTTGGTCTGAGTCCATTCACTTTGCGCACATTCTGAAGCAGCTCCCTGTGCATCTGTGAACATGAGCTCGCTTCAGATACCTCAGCATTTCTCGACAATAGACCGATCAGCGCCATGGACGAGCTCAGGAGAGCAGCCACGGAAGCTCGACGTATGGCTGAGCTAGGCGAAAGAAGGCGTAGCAGTCGAGATCTTAGCGGTAAGCCCATCCTCGAGTCTCGCCTTAAAGTTGACACTAACGCTGGACAAATTATGAAGATGTCATTCGCGAGCGATAGTGGATGGAATGGCGTGTACGCCAAGGATTCGAGCGCCAGTGGCAGGCAGCTGAGGAAGTTCTCCCCTACGTAGAGCGCAACGTCTCGCGCGCGGAGAGAGCACCAGAACCTGCCAGAAGCGATGGAGAACGATCGGCCCACGCTTATGATCCATATCAGCTACCAGCGCGAGGCTACCGCTCCGCATCGTCGCCATCCTTCAGTTTTCATCGTGCAAAAAGACCGGCTCGAATTCCAACACGGTTTGAGGGCTATGAGACTCGGAATGTGGTCCCAAGTAATCGACAAAGCAGGAGAACCTCCTTGATTGGTCCTCAGAGCACGGAACGGCACTACCAAAGCTCTCACTTTCAAGCAGAGCCCAGGCCTCGCGGCGATGACAGTCATCAGCTGCCTCAATTACATGTTCAACACCAGGCGCAGTATGTGCCACCACCTGGATACAGTACAGCTCTGGCAGAAAGCCGTGAAGCAATTCAGGCTTTTCTGAATGATGAGTACGATCCACCACCGCTGTATGACAGTCTCGAAAGACCGCGGCGGAAGGATAAAAAGGAGATTCGTGCCAAGGACCACCAGAAGGCATTGAGTTGGCTGGCTGGGAGGAGGACGCTGGGTGGGAGTAGGAGAGGCTGAGTCTGGTCCACTGCTCAAACTGGTGTATCTCGAGTTGGGTATGAGATGGGGTCTGACAGAAGTGCATGTAATATCGGGGGTGTTGAGATCAATAGCCTCGCCTCAGACAGGTATGATGGGGCTTGCTTCAGAGTGGCGGAATGATTTAGAGCTTCTCAAAGCAATTATCATGATGCTTTGTAATCATTTCCGCTTCAATTCATGATGACCTTCGAAGCGACACTTAGCAGCCAACTCGCATCCTGCCATCCAGAAACCTCTCCTTGTACCTTGCCGCCATCTCCAAGTGGAGCCGGCGGAGCGTGAGCAGTCAATCTGTCTTTCTCCTCTTTCTTCCGCTTCGCTTCAGCTTCCATCCTCCGTCTGCTTTCTTCTGGAGTCTCATTCTCTACCGCAGCGTATGCGTTCTCATCATCTGTAGTATCAATATGCTCGGTCACGCTGAAGAGGTTGAAATGCATGATACGGTCCACCAAGTTTCCTAGCCCATAGCTATTTTCGCCGCTCAGCTTTTCGATATCCAGATCTTCTTCAGGTTCCTCATCCTGACCACGCTTCTCTTCCGGACTTACAAAGCCCGGCTCGGTGATGAGAGGTGTGATGGGGTAATCAAAATATCCTGCCTGTTCCGATCGTCGTGGTGTCCTAGACCCTACGGGAGATGCTAAACGAGAAGTTTTCCTACTTGCAGGTCGGCTACCGTATCTGCTACCCCATCTACTTGTTCTTTGGCTGACCGGACTTCCACCATCGTACTGTGCGAGGCGTAATCTGTTCGTAGTCGAGCTCAAAGCAGCCATCTCTTCGTAATGATCATCGTCGTCGTCGTCGTCTTCAGACGATGCTGGTGCTAGCGCTGTGGCACTTTCACGAGAAGACAACCAGCTTTGTCCCTTGTCTTCTCTCACGAGCATGGAAGCTGTAGAGCCCGTATGTGTCAACCAGTTATCGGACTCTGTAGGCCTTGGAGTAGCATTGCCGCTCTTGCGTCCCCGCGAGCTACTATATCTGTATCTTTTGCTGACAGGTACACCCGGACCAGCAAGTCTCTGCGCAGCCATTTCTGCCCTCTGCTGTGCTGTAATGGCAGCTTCGCTCTTGGCTTTGGGGATTTGCCCGCTTCCATATTCTGTGCGCCCACGATTCTGGTTGAAAGCATGCATATTGGCAGAGGCAGAGTATGTATATCCGGTCTCCCCTTCTGCATCATATTCCGCATCATTGTTGTCGTAAATGGAGTTCTTCCTGCTCAGGCCACCGCCGAGATGTCGTCTGGAATTGCTCCGGGACAAAATACCAGGTGTAGTAGGCGCAGATTTTCCATGGAGATAAGACAAATGCTGGCGTGCGAACGAGGCATCTTCTCCGGCGTCGTACGGAGTTCGTAATGGTGATTTTGGTGGGACGTCACCCTTGGTCGGTTCGTACTGTTTCGACAGCGGTGCGAGGCGGAGGTCTGCGAGGTTTGTAGTAGATCGCTTTGCGCGGGAGCGTGAACGCGGCGTATTTGTTCCTGAGGCCATTCTTGAATCTGCACTTCCACTCGAATTGTAGAAATAATGTGGAAACGAGCAACGTGAAGGGCTCAAGCTCGATATATACAGATTCACTTCACATCAGTTGAATCCCTGCCTCACCCGAACTAGCAGTAGCTCCACTTGTCGTTCTCCAGACCCTGGCACAATGCAACCTCGGCCCTTACATCGACATCACCTCATTCACTGCACCACAATTTTCACATGACATCTTATACCATTGGTTGATTTGGCGAATCTGAAGTTATTTCACAGGAATTTCAAATGGTACGGTGACGTGGTATCGCCAATCCTTTAGATCGGGCTTTTCTAAAGCGTTATGTTATGAGTTTGATTCTAGCCCCGAGGGCAGGATACATTACACACACAGATCACGATTCACGACAAGCTCAGCACCTCCCACAAGATCTTATCAATTTTGTTGAAAGGAGATGACAAAGCCCCAAAGCATCCATCCACCCCGAATCCTTCAATCCCCGGCTTCACAGCATTCTCAATCATACACCGCCGTCCACAAAGCAACATAACATTCTCTCCCTTCTCATCAGGCCCAAACAAAAACTTCTCCATCAATACCCTATCCACAGACCCTTTCTTCCCATCCCAATCCTCGCTCAGATTCCTCAAAACATACTTAATCCTCAACTTCGCTTCACTTCCCTACTCGTACTCCTCCAACGCCTTCTTCAACAGAATGTCTTCCTCCGGTTTGTTCCCATCAATGACAAGAAGTTCGGTTGGGTCGGATTGAATTAGACAAAAGCGAGCGATGAGTTAAACTCCCGGCGCGAGACCTGTACCGCCTACAACTAGGGGAACGCGTTTGAATATTGGTTCTACACCTTGAAAGGAAATCAGCCATTCGCGAGGTATATGGTATCGCCTTCTGGACCTTCGATTTCGATTTCTGAGCCGATGGGGAGGTTGGATAGGGCCAGGGATACATTCATTAGCTCGAGCAGTGTTACTGGAAGAGAGGCGATAATTTTGCCATGCAATTGCCCATTACGCATACTCGTCATTAACACTCGCAAACTCACTTGAAGTCTGGAGGCTGGAGCAATTGCATGTGAACTCTACGTCAGTGTTGAGTTTGTACTTCAGATTGGATTCCGAAGTCGTTATCCTGCACTCGACTATGAAGCGCCTTTGATTGGCGTTAGCTCTGCTTATTTCCATCGCCTTTAAGATAATATCGGCGTCCATAGCTCCCAAATCCAGCAGCGAAACGGCTGATTTATCTCGTCCAATTTGTTCATAAGACCTGATGAAGTGAAACTATCTGAAGGGGTTCAGGCCATGTTGTAGGCATCTCGGTAGTAGTCGTCGAATCCACCATCCGTGGTTGCAGCTTCGGTATCGGCAGTGTCCGTGCTGACAGTTGAAGGAAACTGATCTGAGACTAGATCTGCCTGGAGGCTCTGGTAGAGTGGTGAATCAGACCGAGGCATTGAATCAAGGTCGAGGCTCGCGTTGAGCAAATCTATCCGGTGTTGAAGGTGTGCATCGAGCTGTTGGAGGTGGCCGTCTGTCTCCTGACGTGTTTTCAAGCGATCTGTGGCTCGTGTATTGCTCGCGAAGGCCGCCGTCAAAGCCTGTATCAGGGTATTGATAGCCCCTCTTGGAATTCGTCTGGCGATGCAGAAGAGAATGGCAATTTGAGCAACGGTGGCGGCAGCTCCGAGTGCGTAAATGGGCGTGGTGACCTCGTCGATTGTGGACCACTCGGAACTTATGATGTATGTGTAATATCGAAACCTGCGATGCTAGGTGAATGAGCTCGTGAGCACTACTGGCGTGTGACAGATTCGAATCGCACACGCGGGGCGCTCGTCATTGCAGCTTGTAACAATAGATACCGGTATTCATGTCTTGATAAGTTCATGACCATGCGACAAGTCCTCAAGGAGTCCAAAAGGCTGTGTTCCCTTACATTGTATGCCCCAACTCCTCGCTAAACTCAATATGGGTATCAAATTTTCACGCGTTACCACTCATGAGCCCAGCTCTGCCTGTCTTACTCTCAGCTCTTGCTCCTCCTTGTCTGCAATCTTCCTCATCTCGAGCAATGCATGTACTTTGCTCATGATCTCATCGAATTGCTCAACTACTCTCGGTGTTGGCAACACTATCAGCTCTGGCACGCCGATGTGCGTCAAAATGGCACCAATCTTCTCGGTCATGATGGTGCTCTTTGCGGTGCGCGGTTTGATGACGCGATCGCTTGCGAAGGAGATACCAGATGATGGTTTCGCATTGTCTGCGGATGCTTCGACAATACCGTAGCGCAGCTTATCGGCCTTGGAGAAGTTGTCTGGAAGGGCCGATGAAGGGGTGGCGGAGGGGAGGGAATCGCGAGTCTGGCGCCGCGAGGGAAGAACGCCGCCTGCGTCGGACAGCGCGGCAGTCGAAGCTCGCGGGCCATGGGATGAGCTGGTGTGTAGTGGTGGAAGCATGCCAGCTGCGCCTGGTCCATCATAGGCCGGATTGCCGGTCGGACGTAGACGGGGATTCTTCTTCATGCGATCCTGAGCGAGCAGTTGCTGCCACAGCTGCGTCAGTGCTTGGCTTGTGGTGTACTGGTAGGCATTGGTGGCAGGATTGGGATAGTCCAGTCTGCGGCGCAGTTCTTCGCGCTGGCTGTCGAGAGTGGCGTGGTTCAGCATGATGCGTTGCAGCTCGCTGAGAAGGACCATCTCCTCGTCGACCTCGTTTGCCTTGCGGTAGAGGTGCAGCTCGGCCAGCTTCTTTCGCGACTTCTCTTGGTCGGGGTTGAAGTTGGTGAGGGTCTCGTACAGCTGGTAGTCGGAAGTGCCCATCGATGCTATCGGAGTGCGCACTTGCAGCAGCTGAGCAGAGATGTAGTAAAAGCGCTTCTTCAATTCTTCCATACTGCGCTCCTTCCCGCCCTCGAAATCGTAGTGGTCTGCGATGATGGGCCATTTCGCGTTGCATTCCCGGTAGACATCGACCAGATAATCTGTCTCCTCCTTCGTCCAGTCTGCTTCCTGCAGGACTTTTTCATATGTTTCTTCCTCGTACTCGGGCACTTCGAGCTTGACGTTGTATTTCTCGAACCGCTCTCCACTGTCGGTATCGCCGTTGCTGTTCGGGGGGTTCGCGTTTGCGCGTCGCCATCGATGCACGTTGATATCTTGCCGCGACGCAGAGGCCGGCGTGGCATCATTGGTCCATTTCGCCGCCTTACGAGGCTGCACCAGTCGCGGTCTCCTGTCGGCCAGCATGGCGTGGCGTGGCGTAGCGACGTGGAGTGCGTGCGTGCGTGCGTGCGTGCGGGTGCGTGTGTGTGCTCTGAGATCAAGTTGCGATCGCGAAAGGCGAAAGATCACAACTGCTCTGTGGCAGTGGCCTGTATTGGACTAGAGCCTTCTTGGCGTCACAGCGACGCATCCCCTTAACGAAGTCCGTGGTTAAGTCCGTCGAACACCCACCCTGGCTCTGCCCTTGTCGGGTTCCACTTCTGATGCTAAATATGGTGTGGCCCTATACAAACCTGCATCGCCCCTCGAACTGCGAGGCTGTCCGATTAGGTCTCGGATTTAGCCGTAGTAGAGCTAAAGGTTAAGAAGCCGATACCTTTACGAGTCGTCCCCTAGTAAAGGTTTTGTAGCAAACCTTCGTAAGTAAAGGTATAGAAGAAGGCAATAGAGGCGCTAAGTACGCTACCGAGACAGGTATATAGATAATAAACCGTAGATTAAGACCTTCTAATAACTAATTAGCTACTAATAACCGAGTCTCGGCTATCTTATATACGCCGTCGACTAAGTCGCTATAAGCTTAGTAAAGACATACTTCTAGCACTAATTAAACCGCCGAGTCTACTTAAGAAGTAGTTTAATATTAGTCTACTTATAGCTAAGGTTAACCGGCTCGTAGAGGTAGTAAGGGACTTAAGGGTAGATATAAACCTCCTATAGAAGGAGGTTAAGAAGGAGGTTAAGAAGGAGATTAAAAAGGAGGTTACGGAGTCGCCTATAGTAGTTGCTAGCTCCGCCGAAGAAGGCTCTCGAAGTAAGGTAATAGTTATTAAAAGGGCGGAGTTTAAGGCACTCTAGTTAAAGGTTAAATAGCTATATAAGACGATTACCTCGCTTATAAAGATGTAGTGTGCTTTAAATGCCGGCTATAAAGCTAACTTATCGGTAATAGCGACTATTGTTAATCGCTAGTAGAGGTTAAAGAGCCCTCCGGCTTTAGGCTCTTAAAGAAGGTATATAGATTAGGCTAGTTATACTATATTAGGTTATATGCCTTATATAAGGCAATAGGACTATAATAGGTATAATAATAGACTGTCTAGTGCTCGGTTGTCTTGTTAAGTAGCTAGTGTTTAAACCCCTAGGCGGTCCTTATATACTTATATAGGAAGTAACGTTAGCGTTATAAAATAGGCTTCTAGTCGTAGATAGCGTTACTACTATAAGCGAGGCGACGAAAGTCCTCGGCTATAGGTAGGCTATCGCCCTTCTTAATCTAATAGCGCCGAGATCTTAGTACTCCGCTATTATATAAGTAACTTGCGATAAACTAACCGGAGCTTCGAGGTAGTAGTAGAGTTAGTATACGCAGAGCCCTCGAAGCGGCCTCTATTGCCTCTACCGTATTAAGCTCTTGTTATCCGAGGCAGACTATTTGCTATACTAATAATATACGGAAGTCGCGTTACTAAGTAAATCGCTGCTCTTTAGTCTACTATTTATTACCTCGTAGAAGGACGAATAAGTTAACTACTATAGCGTCGAGTAGGAAGTAGAACAATAGATACTAGCCCTTCCTTAACTTGTATTATATCGAGTAATAGTAGCGCAGCTAGTCGTAAATGTCTACGCTACCTATATAATTATTATATAATGCCGCAACCTCTAGAATAGTTATCTCTTCCTTGCTATTAGTTTTCTAGTAAGGCCGTACGTACTTATCGATATAGGCGTTATTACTAGCTCGAGGGCAGCCTCGAAGCCGCTATAACCGCTCGAATAGACGGCACCCTGTCGTAAGAAACTAGACAAGGTTTCTATCCTACTAGATTACTACCGCTATACTATAAATTGCCTTATAAAGCAGTGTATTATAGGGAAAACGCGTGCTCTTCTAATTAAGGGCTAGGAAGGTCGAATTCTTCCTCGTACTATCTCGTTTTAGTATTCCTAGCTTTTCGAAGGTTTTACCTCGCTATAGCTAAGAAAGTAAGCTAGATCGTATAGTACTAGTCGCAGCGATGCCTAGGTACCTTAAGACTGCAAATAATAGCACGTTATTAAATAGATTATCTATATAAATATAGAAGAAGCGTTATAGGAAAGGAAGTTATAGGATTAGTCGAAGAACAGCCTACCTAAGCGAGCTTAGCTTAGAGCTAAGCGAGACGGCAGGCGACACGATTAGGCTTTCGGGTGTCTCGGTAGCGCGGTCGGTACGGGCCGTAGTAGTATAACTTTCTTTTCTTACTTGCTATACTAAATACAGTCCTATATTCAATCCGTAACTAATACTACTAGGACTACGGTTCTTACGCTTACGACGCTTCTTATTACTCTCCTTCTGCCGCTCCTTCTTCTTAGCGTCCGTAAGAACCTCTAGAGTTACTACTAGGTACTAAGCGACTATCGAAGCGATAGAATCCGGATCTTTAGCCTCCTATTTATATGCTTTCCGAGGGCTCGAGAACAAGAAGGAATATAGGTACCTATCCTTATACAGATATAGCATATAATATCCGATAGGCGTTAGCTTACCTCTTATTATAATTACATGCCTAGATTTACCTATAAACCGGATTATGCTCTCGTCGATAGATACGTTAGTACTAGGTACGACTACCTCGCGGAATTTGCTACGTAATATATTAGCAAGCGGCAGCATCTAGGTCTAGGTAGGTAAGCCTCTTCTACTTAACGAGAGCGCGTTATTCCGGCACTATAAAGCAGCCTTAATCTGTTTAAACCGCTACTCGCTTATATAACTAATAATAGGATATAATAGCTAGTATCTATCGTTACGCTAGTAGTCGGACTTGTCGGCTATTTAAATAGCGGACATATAGATAATAATACCTACGAAGATCCGCATTGTTAGCTTGTCTACCGGCTTCTACTAATAGCTAGAAACGAAGACCTTATCGCCCTTCTTAAAGTCCGGTTTATTACTAGTATACTCGTTAGTATACTTAACGAGGCAGTCTATAACCTTATTAGTCTAAAAGAGTAAGAAGAAGCGATATTAGACGTTGTCTATTAATAACAAGTTATTACTACGGAGGTCTAGCGGCAAATTAACCTGCCGCTAGTAAGAGGTACTAGTTAGTAGCTCGTATCGACCCTCGTTAATCTCTCTGTTTTTTAGATAATATAATCCGCCTACTCTACTATCTACCCCTATATCCTCGACCTTATTATCCCCTTCTACGACTACTAAACTCTTATCGTCTACGCCGCTTAGTATAGGTTCTCCCGCCTTCTTAAATATCGGCTCTTTTCCTCTACTTAGCTAATTAGTATTTAACTTATTATCGTCTATTAAACTAGTAGATATATCTAGCTAATTATTACCTTTATCGTCGTTATAACTATCTTCTATAAAGGCCTAGAAGCTCGCTATTCTTATATGCTTCTTAGCGGTATTAAGTTTAGAGATATAAAGTTAATTAAATTATATATAGAAGCCGATAGCGGCGACAATAGCTAAGCGCTCGAAGAGGCTTAACGTACCTTTAACTAAGTCTAATTAAGGCCTGTCTATTTACCTATAAAGCGGCTTCTATATACTAACTATATAGATACTATAGGGGTCGACCCCTGTTTAACCGACGAACCCCGAGCAGGTACGAGTTCTAGTAGGGGATTCTTCATCTAACCTACTACAGCGTCAACGCACATCGGAGTGAAAGTGGATACCAGCGGCCCGTGTAATCTGACATTTCTGATTTGTTACGAACCATGAAGTCCAAGATTAGGGAGTTTAGCGCTTTCACTCCGATGTGGATGTATTTATCAACCCGCCACGTCATCGCACATGGCAGTCTAGCTAGCAACACGTTTGTTATGATGCCGCTTGCCTGGTGTTTGGTGTCTGGCGTCTGGTATCGTCAACCAGCTCTCGTCTCACGTTACAGACGTATGCAGACCTAGAGTCTCACCACCGCACTCGTGGTTGGAAGTGCCTCTACTGTCACCCTTGCGTATCCTCTGCAAACACGGCATCCCGAACGTGGTTCAGTTCACCCAGAATTCCCTTCTCGGGGCGGCCGATGCAGCGCGCATTTGCTCAAAAGTGAGATGCACACATTCAATAATACTTATTCGCATTCGATTCTTCAAGGTGCGAGAAATTTACTGTTCACATCATCACATGAAGCAATACGAGTCCAACTTTACAAATTGCTCCAGCTCCTCTCGCGCTCAGAAGAGATTGCACACTCCGTGCCCGATCTCTGACACTAAATTACGGGGAGCAAGACGAGTACGATGCGTCGAATAGAAAGATGGAATGAAATTTGGCCAAATTCCCGCGATGGCACTATAATGGTAGATGGTCTTGCTCATGATGTAAAGTCCGATTAAGCGAGATGGCGGCTTCTATGTAGATCTCGTAGGCAAGGTTGAGCCTGGCCGCCATCTCGCTCAATCGGACTGTGCAGGATATCGTGAAAAGTGGTGTCAACATATACAGGCATCAACTGGCATCTTTGTCGCTCTCCTGCGCCTGCGGAAGAAGATCCCGGGAGTGGCTCCTATCCTTGAGACCACCGAAAGCCGAAAGCCACCAAGGACAGCTGGAGAAGCAGATCATGCCTGTATTGAGCTATTCGAAGTCGTAATCTACAACTCGGGTGTCGGACGCTACTGTTCGGTTCTTGAAAGAGGGTGTAGGGTGCTAGGATAGCCTAGCCTGCCATCTCACTCAATCGGGGTGTGAAAGCTTATGCCCATTAAAAAGTCACGGACTGATGATGATCAAAGCCACGCTGGAAACCAGCTGGCCTGGCTGTCGTAGAGCCGCCTCCGCTCTATCCTCGTCAGCACCACCAACGCCGCAGAAAGAATGGGGCTAGATTTATGCGCCCTGGTCCGGCTTATATGCTTGGTCGTGCGATGCAATGGCACGACCAGATGGATCGGTCTGCTTGCTCCAAGTTGGTGTCCAACGCATGACAGTGCTGGCACAATATGGCGGGAAGTGCTCGTCGAACATGCAGCGGTACCAGTAGGCCTCCTTGGAATCAGGAATGTCATCTCCCCAGAACGGCTTCTCTTTCCGGATGTTGGCCTCAACCATCTGCTCATCAGAGACCATCTTCTTTGCCTCGTCTTTGAGAGCATCAATCCAGCCATACCCGACGCCGTCGGAGAATTGCTCCTTCTGTCTCCAGAGAATGTGCTTGGGCAAGTACGGCTTGGCGCCTGGCTCGCCTTCCGTATCGAATGCTTTTCGCAGAATGTACTTTTCGATCTTGCCTTGCGACCTGTCAATCATCTTCTCCGCAGGGTCGATGTTCATAGCCACGTCCAAGAATTGCTTGTCCAGGAACGGCACACGTGCCTCAACACCCCACGCAGAAGTCGACTTGTTGGCACGTAAGCAGTCTGCAAGGTGTAGGTTCTTGACTCGCCGCACAGTCTCTTCGTGGAAAGCTTTTTTGTCTGGCGCGTTGTGGAAATATAAGTATCCTCCGAAGATTTCGTCCGATCCTTCGCCAGAAAGTACCATCTTAACGCCCATGGCCTTGATCTTGCGGGACAGCAGGAACATTGGCGTGGAGGCACGGATCGTGGTAACATCGTAGGTCTCGAGATGGTAGATGACGTCAAAGAGAGCGTCGAGACCTTCTTGGATGGTGAAGGTCAGAGAGTGATGCCTAGTGCCGAGATACTTGGCGACCTCTTCTGCCGCGACGCTGTCTGGGGCACCTGGCAGACCAATGGAGAACGAGTTGAGTTGGGAGAGCACGGGGACATCAGTGAGATTGTAGTTCTCGTCAACACCTGCCAGGCCTTCCGTGCTCTCAGCAGGCGTTGCGGAGGCAATTTGTCCGTTGGCAACGCCACTGATGGTTGGGCTGTTGGTGCCTTGCGAGAGAAGTGCTTGCTGGCGAGCATACTCTTTCTGCAGGCGCTGCGTTTCACGCTGGGCAATCGAGGCGACAAGTGAGCTGTCCAAGCCACCACTGAGAAGCACGCCGTAAGGCACTTCAGCCATCAGCCTCTTTCGTACAGATCTCTCGAAAGTTTCCCGAAGCAGCTTCAGGTCAAGCGGGTTGGAAGGAATGATGGTAGGTTCGACCAGCCATTTTGGCGTATAATATCGAGTAAGCGTGTCGGTCTTGCTGTCGTATACGTGGCCTGGTGGAAAGCTATCGATCTGATCACACACTGGGTGCAAGCACTTGAGCTCTGAGGCGAAGTACACAGCACCAGGCGTTGAGCTGCTGCGGCCAATGTAGAAAGTGGTGATGCCGATAGGATCTCTGGCGGCAATCAAGCGGTCCTGAGCCTTATCGTGCAACACCCAGCTGAACATGCCGTCCAGGTACTTGGGCGCATCCAAGCCATGCTCTTTATACAGTGGGATGATGACTTCGCAATCCGAATGTGTCTTGAAGGGGTATGGGGTGGTAAGCTGCTTGCGCAGAATCTTATGGTTGTAGATTTCGCCATTGACTGCGAGTGCGACGGTGCCGTCGTCGCTCACAATGGGTTGCGAGCCCGTGTCTACACCGACAATCGAGAGACGTTCGTGGACGAGGATGGTGTTGTTGGCTGTATGGTTACCGCTCCAGTCAGGTCCGCGATGCTTGACCTGCTTTCCCATGCGGATCGCAGTCGGTCTGAACTTCTGCACATCTGGGTGGCTGCAGGACAGGTTGTGGTCAGCGTTTCGGCGTGGATGTGAAAGTCTCGTGCCGCGATTCTACAGCGATTGGGCTGGGCACAACATACCAATGGCACGCGAAAATGCCACACATCTTGACTGTGATCTTCCCCTGCTGTCTGGATGGTGTACGAGGAGGGAAAGCAAGATACAAACGGGGCGTCGGGTGTTTTGCGTGTTGCACACGCCCTTGAGTCACCAAATTTCAAGATCTCCTGGCGGTCTGTACATAGTTTATGATCGGAGGGATGAGGTAAAAAAATCCGGCCATCGACGTTGCTTGTTTATGGCTGCATGTGCATTCAGATCCCCGAGAACTGCCGTTTACAATGGTGTAAGTTCTCTCCTAGCAAGCAGCGTCACTTTTTCACCATTGCAAATGTCTCTGCCCATCCGTTCGATCGATGTACTAGCTTGGCTGGCTGTGCTATACCCTGGTGCGCCGAAGTTGAAGAAGGTCGGCTTTAGGCTAATTTTAGGAATTTCGGGAATCCTGAGAATTGGTTAGTTTGTTTAACTTGTAGTAGTGCCTTTTATATATACTATCTCGAGCAAATATCGATAGGAGTACTTAGTCGTCGCTCTTAAATAAATTATTTTAAGCGGCGAAGATGCTAAGGTAGTAGTAGTAGTAATATAGTAGAATATTTAGACAGCAGGGGGTAGAAAGCTATACTAAGCCGTTTAGATCGGTCTATTATTATAGCGATAGTAAGGTCGGCAATAGTCGATCGCCCTATAAGCAGAGATCTAGATTCTATTAGATATTAGGGTAATTCTAAGCGTAATATAGGCGTAAACAGATAGTTATAGCTGCTAATATAGATTGTTAACGTTTTAAGTGTTCTTATTTAAATATTAAAATATTAAAAGATTAAATATAAGTTTAGCGACATTTAGGCTTATACTAGTATTTAAATAACACTTATATCGTATAACGCTGTCTTATACGCCTTTATCCGCGTTACCTATTAATCTAAAGAGTCGTTTGTTCCGTATCGTTCGTAAGATAGTATATATCTATATTATTAAACACCTTACCTTATATATATATTAGGGCAGACAGTATCGCAAGTAATATTATAACAACTATAGAAGAGAAGAAATAGGAAGAAACACAAAGGATAAGTTATTATACTTATACTAAAGCGAGGCTAGCGAATAGCAGTATATTAATTAATAATATATTTAAAAGAGTAGAGCGGCGCTAGTAGATACGCGCAATTGCGTACTATCGAGCAAGCGTAAGACTAACTAAACAATAGCGACTAAGACTAATACCCTAACTATCTAATCTCTTATTATTATCGTTATCGTTATCCTTATCGTTATCCTTATCGTTATCCTTATCGTTATCGTCGGTAGCGGCGGCGGTAGCGGTATAGTAGGGAGTAGTAGGGCCGGACTAAGCGAGAATTAGTATAAGAAGGGTTATGTTAGCAGGTAGATAGGGTAGTAGTGAATTAGTTTAGTATTCGATAGAGATCTAGGAGGAGAGGGAGGAAGGTAGGAGAGTTAGCCTAACGCTAAGCGCCAAGCCCTGCCTAAGGCATTAAGACCCTAGCTTTACTCGGCCTAGTTATATGCCAATTACGTGTAGCCTCTTTAGCCCTAATATACGCTTCTCTTCTAAAGGCCGCGCCCTCGTAGCCGGTCTTTGTTCTAGTCTCAACCCCTATTACTACTAACTTAGTAGGTCTAATAAGCCGCTTAGTCTGCGCTAAATTAAACACTTAACTACCTAATTATATAACTATATCAAACCTTACCTTCTAACACAATATCTAACTCTAACTGCGCTATCCCTATATATAATAAACTATAAAGTAATATATATCTACAAGAATTGAGGGCCTTCGACTAATTATAATACGAGCGCGTCTTCCCTACTATAATAGGTAGACGTACGAGGTATTACAGCCCTGCCTCCGCTCTACGTAATGTCGTACCGAGTTCTTTGCGTCTACTCTTAAAAGACCTAGCAATGTCCGCTTCCGAGGGTTATTCTTATTATTACGAGGGCTATTATTTACTGTCGTAGTTTTACTAGCCTAAATTAGTTAGGTTTAGTAGCCTTTAAGTGTTAACTAATTATATCTTTTCAAAAAACTTAGTTCTTCTAGTTTCTATAGGTAAAGGCTATTATAAGTGTAGTAGTAGAGGTTCGCCTCGCTTAAAGGGTTAAATAGATCGAGGAGTAACCTATTGTCCGTAAGATCGACCCCGGCTAGCTTAGCTCTATAGTTTTACCCTTAGTTAGTCTATTAGTCGCTTAATCTTTTAACTTAGTTAAAGTTTTAACTTAGCCTTAAAGTTTTAATTAAACCTTTAATAGGCTTAAAGCTTTTAATTAAAGTTTTGATTAAAGGTGCCTTAGGCTCGTAGTATAGGTAAGGTTGTATCTATAGGCGTAGCGATAATAGTAAGTAATGTTAATAATAGCAGCGCTAGTCGTCTTAGCGCTAACTTTACCTTCTTCTAATTTCCTTCTTTAACTAATAATAACTCGGCAACACCGTTACTAATATAGCTATATCCTTCCTTTCTTAAATAGCAACACACTCCGTAACACCGTTACTAATATAGCTACGCCGGCCGCCGGCACACTACTAGCTCGTAGCGCGACACTATTATCCTCGATAGGATAAAGGAATAAAAGAGGGACCTAATGCTAGGGGAAGGCCCTATAGGGCGTATTAGTAAAGAGGTAGAGCCCTTAAAAGAGTATACGATTAGTTGTCGCGTTATAGCGCGCTTGTTAATACTTAGTACGCGTCCGCTATAGTAGTATAGTCTTATTGTCCTTCGTTACTAACAATTGCTTGCTTCTAATTAGTTAGCTAATAGCACCCCGGGGGTGGTATTGTTCTTAGGTCTCTTTTAGTAACATTGGCGGCATTATAAGCTCTTAGCCTTCTTCTTGTTCTTTACGCTAGTCTAATATTCGTCTAACAACTTAGTTATATCTTTAAAGGAACCTTTAGCTTCCTACGAGTCCTATTTAGGTAAATAGCCTTACTATCTTAATAGGTACTCCTTCTTGCCGTTCCTAGTCCGGTGCTATAGGATACGTTCTATAGACTATAGCTCTTCGCTATTAGCTAGTATATCCTCGGATTTAGTAGGTACTTCATCCCCTTTACGTAGATAGTACGGCTTAAGGAGGGATACGTAGAAGGTATTATAGATAGTATAATAAGGTAGAAGCTATAACTAATAGGCCTAGGTACCCCTAGGTTCTCGGATACGGAAAGGGCTAATATACCTTAGTGCGAGTTTGGGCCTTGTTTTGCTATTAGGTAAGGGGTATTTGCGGATACGGAGGTTCTTCGTACTAAGTATAACTAGGTCGCCTTACTTGAAGGTTATTAGAAGGTAGTGTTTATTATAGTAGGCCTTCTAATAGGCCTAGGCCTTTGCTAGTTTGTTAGCTATCTTAGCGTGAATTTCTCGCATCTTTTAAACCCTCTTAATAGCCGCTAGTATCTTAGGTTGACCCGCTTCCCTTTCCTTACGCTCGGCCTCGAGCGATAGGGGGTCTTATAGCATAGTAGCGTTCTAGCCTATTATAGCGAAATAAGGTAACACCTTAGTAGATAAGTAGACACTATTGTTATATACGAATTCGGCGGGTTGTAGGAGATTAACCTAGTTATTAGGGTTCTTATTAATATAGCTACGTAGGTACTGCTATAGCGTAGCATTCTGCCTTTCGGTCTAACTATCTGTTTGTAGATAGAATACTATAGACAGGCGATACTTAAGTCTTAGCTATAGACAAATCTCACTCTAATAATAAGATATAAATGTCGAGCCTCGGTTAGAGACTATCCCTTTAGGGGTCCCCTAATAGGTATAGAAGATATTGTTCTATAGCGCTTCTACTATATTAATAGCAGTCTAATCTTTCCGCGCCGGGATGTATCGAGCGCCCTTAGTAAACCGGTCTATAACGACTAGGATAGCGTTAAAGATGTCTTTGCTTCCTCTTCGCTTAGTAGGGGGGAGACCTATAATAAAATCTATTATAAGCTCTACAAATAGCTTATAGGGAATTAGCAATAAGGACAACTCGCTAAAAGGCTAATACTTTAGTGCCTTAACACGTTAGTATACGGTATACGTGTTAACGTATTCCTTTATATCCCGCTTACTATTTAGCTAGTAGTATATACGCGATAGTAGCTCGTACGACCTCTCTATACTATAGTAACCGGCAAGCTTACTATTATAGTATCGCTTAAGAAGTTCTTGTCGGATCGAATATTTAGCGGGGATATAGTATCTGCCCTTAAACTTCAAATAACCTTTGTTATCGACCGACTAGTTACTCTTACTAGATCGAGTCGTTTGCCTACTTATAAGCTTGTCGATACGTTTAGTAGTAAAGGCGTCCCTCTACTAAGCACGTAACAGCTTATTTATAAACGATTAACTATCCCTATTTGTAAGGTTATTTAATAGCACCCTCGCTATTAAACGAGGTACGTATTATATACATTTAATAGTACTAGTAGCCGGATTAACTATAGTAGTACTATCGCTATTACTATATATTGCGATGTCGACTAGGGAGTTATTATAACTTCTCCTATCTGTGTCCTTAGCCCTTGCCTTAATACGCACTATTAATATAGTAAGAGCATTAACATACTTTAAGCCGTCGCGGAGTCCGGTAAGCCGCTTATCCTACGCTTGCTTATTAACAATATAGGCTATAGCAATCTTATACTATAGGATTAGAAACAAAGAATTGATGTATTAGGTCTCGCTATCGTAATTAGGTCGCCTCGATAGGCTATCGGCAGGGTTACTTACGCCTAGCTAGTATAATATATTAAAATCAAACCCGGCGAGGTAGACGGCCTATCTAGCCTATCGACCTGTAACCCTAGTAATCTTAGTAATACTACGGAGGTTGTTATAGTCTATATAGACCTGTATTGTATATTAAGCCCTATCGAGGTAGTGCCTCTAATACTTAAAGGCCTCGATAATAGCTAGGAGCTCTTACTCGTAGGTCTCGTAGCGACGTTTAGTATTAATTTTTTTCCTCGAGAAGAAGGCAATCGGGTGCTAGTAGGTGTTATTAGCCTACTGTAATATAATAGCTAATATAGCGAACTGTAAAGCGTTAGTCTCAATTCGGATCTGTTTGCTTAGTACGAAATAGTATAATAAGGGGACTTTAGTAAATCGCTTCTTTAGACCGTTAAAAGCGGCTTGTGTCTTGTCGGTCTATTTAAATTCTCTAGACGGGTTAGCCTTAGTTTTAGTAAGCTCAGTTAGTAGCATTATATGCCTCGAATAGCCCTTAATAAATCGGCGATAGAAGTTAGCAAAACCGAGGAACGACTATAGTTCCTTAATTAACGTAGGAATAGGCTATTTAGTAATAGTCTTAATCCGATTAGGATTAGCCTTAATACCCTTAGTTAATACGAGGAAGCCGAGGAATAACACCTCTTTAGTAGCAAAGGTGTATTTAGAAGGCTTGTAATATAATCTATAGGCTTGTAGGCGGTCGAGGACCTTACGCACTACGGCCTAGTGTTCTGTAATATTAGGTAAATATATATAAACTAGGATGTTATCTAGGTAAACTATATAGAGATAGTCTAATAGGCCTAAAAGGGCCCGATTAATATAGGACTAGAATATAGTAGAGGTATTAGCTAGCCTAAATAGTATAACTAAGTACTTAAAATAGCTATAACGAGTGCGAAAGGCTGTTTTCTATTTATCGCCCTTACGGATGCGGATGCGATAGTATATATCCTTAATATCTAATATAGTATAGTAGTAAGCGCTAGAAAGGCGATCGAGGGTCTCGTTAATAAGCGGAAGTAGATAGCGGTCTTTAATAGTAATAGTATTAAGCCTACGATAGTCGACATATAGGCGTAGGCTACTATCCTTCTTTAGTACGAACAGGATAGGTACACTAGTAGGGCTGTTACTATACCGAATGCGACCGTTAGCTAGGTTTTCCTCTAGGTACTTACGTAATATAGCGAGCTCTCGTTTACTAAGGTTGTAGAGGGGACTAAAAGGAACCTCTTTGCCTTCTATAATGTTAATCTTATAGTCTATCTCTTTAAATATAGGCAATGTCGATACTAAGTAGTGTTTAAACACATTAATATAGGTCTCTCGAATAGGCTCTAGTATACGCTCGAGCTAATTAGAGTCTATGCTATTAGGGGGCATAGGCTTATTATCGTCGCCTAATAGGTCGACTGTTAGGTCGGCTAAGGCAGAGGCTAGTATTAGGTTGCTAATAAACAGGACCCTAATATTATTAGGACACTCGCTAATGTCGATATATTTAATATCCTCTCTTCTAGCGATTCTAAATCGCTATTATTAACTGCCTAAGTCTACAACTATAGCATAGTGCTTAAGAATAGGGTTGCTAATAATAATAATAGCTCCCCTATACAAGTTGTCTATATCTACTACGTAGGCAGTAAAGTCTAGTAGGCGTTTATTTCCGAGGTCGTCCTTTAGGGCTATAGGAATATAGTAGGCCCTATAGGTCAAGTGCCGAGCGTTATTAAACTAAGCAAGGGTTAGTAGGTTAGTCCTAGGCAGTTATCGAAGGTCTAATTGCTTAGCTAGGCGATAGCTAATAAGGGTACTAACTGAATTTCCTAGATCTAGTATAACCTTAGTTTAATAGGTAGTGCCCTTCGTATCCTATATAAGGTAGGAGCGTATTATAGCTAGCACAATGTCGATAGTCTTACGCCGTATAAGGCTAATAGTTAGTGCGGCGCTTACTCTTTTTTCGAAGGTTAGCCTATAGGGGTAGCGTTAGCTGCTAAAAGGTGCTTTCGGTGCTTAGTAGTAGTACGGTCGATTCGGGCCTAGTCCTTAGGTTTGTCGTATTAGCCTAGTAGATAGCTAGTGCTATTACAATTAAAGCACTTCAGTCCGGTTAGGGGATTGCTATAGCTATTACCGCTATTGTTAGCCGAGCGATTAGTACTATAGGGATACGAGCCCCTTCTACGGCCCCTATTACGGCCTCCTCTATATAGCCGTCGGCTACGGCTTCTCCTACGGTCGTTGTTACTATTATTGTTAGTATTGTTATTCTAGTAGGAACCTTAGTTTCCTCCGCCGCGGCTACTACGGTTGCTACGGTTAGTACTAGTTAGTCGGATCCTCGATTCTAGCTATTACTAAAGCTAAACAGCTCGTTCGGCTATTTCTACTTCGACTATAAATTAAATGCGTATTAGGTTAGCCTGTTCGAATATACGGCGGCGGTCTAATTCGAGGACTAGTTCCTATCGCAATTTAGGGCGTATTTCGGAAATCTAGATAGAGTCGGTCTTAGCTAGCAAATCGTCCTTAAGGGTCTTTAAATAGGCCTTAAATAAGCGAGCCGATTAATTAGTCTTTTGTTTAGCTCGAAGGTATTAGTCCTAAGCGTATTGTTGCCTTAGTATAGGGTTTCTAAGGGTATCTAGTATAATAGTCTTGTAGTCTTGCTACTAAATAGCGGTCTAGTTAGTAAGGGAGTCGAAATAGTTATCCTAGGTACGCTTTAGGTCTCTATTAATGTATTGTATAGTATAGACGACTAACGAGTAGTCGTCTAGAAGGGCCCTTAGCGCGTTTCGCTAATTAAGCTCGCAGTTACGGATATAGTCGTTATATTGTTTCCGACTAGAGCTATTAAATATAGTACAGTCCTTGAGTTTAGCATCCTTCTTTTAGACTAAAACAGATAGAGAGGAAGGCCCTACTATTAGTTTAGTATTAGTTGCTAGGGCTTCTTATAGGCGACGAATTTCGAGGAGATTATCCTTTAGCTATTGTTCTTAGCGTAAGACAGTAAGCCTGTTTTAAGTAGCTCCTTAAAGTCTCGCTACTAGTTAGGGACTAAAGGCTAGTTAGCTATATCGACGGTTAACAATATTATTAAGAATGTCGTCGACAGACAATTCTAGGTCGTTACCTAGAATTACAGGTTCTTTAGTAGGCTCTCTAGTAGGCTCTTTAGTAGGAGGCACTTTAGCAGGTGCTTTAGTAGGCACTTTAGTAGGTGCTATGCTACTTATATTGTTATTGCTAGCGCTGCTAGCGGCGCCGCGATTGTTGTTTTGTAATAAACCGGCTATTATAAGGGGCGGCACTAATAATGTATTATTAGCCCCTAAGATACGGATATAGCGGAATTAGTAGATATCGGCCTAGTATAATTAACTTAGTGTAATAGGCCGTATAGAAGGCCTTGCTTAATAATTAGTACGGTTGTTTCGATAGAATAGTACGTATAGGTCCCGTTCTTTAGGCGCAATATAGTTAAATCGATAGTTTTCGTAGCTATACCGCTAAAAGCTTAAAATAAGGACTATCTAGCTGCTACCCTTAAAGGGTAGATCGAATACTATATAAGAAGGGTTATGTTAGCAGGTAGATAGGGTAGTAGTAAATTAGTTTAGTATTCGATAGAGATCTAGGAGGAGAGGGAGGAAGGTAGGAGAGTTAGCCTAACGCTAAGCGCCAAGCCCTGCCTAAGGCATTAAGACCCTAGCTTTACTCGGCCTAGTTATATACTAATTACGTGTAGCCTCTTTAGCCCTAACAATTAGCATTTCTTACGTAATTCGAGTCTAGAGTGCGAGTCTATACCGAATGCTAGCGCTATTTCGCGTCTAACCGTATAGAATCGCCGCTACTAAGATAAGGACGTTATACTCGTTCTACTAGACGAGCGCGCAGCGCGGCGAGGGCGAGACGGCTAAAATACCTAGTTAATATATAATCGAATTCGATTAATTTAGAGCTTAACTTACTACCGCGTATACTGCCTTTAGTACCGCTTACGTAGTCCTTATATTTAAGGCAATAATATATACTTATAGGTAGCTCTACGTGCCTATAAAGTGCGAGCGAAGCTTCCGCCTTATATATCCTTATAGGTCGCTAGTCGTTGCAGGTCGCTAGTCGTTATAGGTCGCTAGTCGTTATAGGTCGCTAGTCGTAGTCGCTATAGGTCGCTAGTCGCTAGTCGTTATAGGTCGCTAGTCGTTATAGGTCGCTAGTCGTTATAGGTCGCTAGTCGTAGTCGTTATAGGTTGCTAGTTATAGTCGTTATAGGTCGCTAGTCGTAGTCGTTATAGGTCGCTAGTCGCTAGTCGTTATAGGTCGCTAGTCGTTATAGGTCGCTAGTCGTTATAGGTCGCTAGTCGTTATAGGTCGCTAGTCGTTATAGGTCGCTAGTCGTTACAGGTCGCTAGTCGTAGTCGTTGCAGGTTTTGTTATAGTTAGTATTAGGCACGTAATTTTCCGGAGGCTTAGTTCTGCCGTACCGTCCTAGTAGTGCTAGTACTAGTCTTTTTACGGGCGCAATACTAGCCTTTTAACGGATAGAATGCTAGCCTTAGGCGCGTGCTACTAGTAGCGCAGTGCTAGCCTTAGGTGCGTGTTAACGATAGTATTAGCGCATTGTTATTATCGCGCTTTAAAGGAAGTAACGTAAAAGGAAGGCACGTAATATGCCCGGAAGCTAGGTTCCTCCGTCCTACTAGTTTGTATAGAAAGCAGCTAATTAGAGCTTTAGCTTCTAAAATCCGGGGAGTTACGTAGTGATTTCTTAGGGGATTCGGCTACTATAGTACCCTTATTATTGTAAGGCGAGCTTCGCTCGCAATTATAGAAGAGGGTAAGAGGGTATATACGATACCTAGTTAAAGGAGAAGAAAGTAAAGAAGAGGAAGAGTATATCGTAAAGTGTATTATCCCTAGTAGCGTAAAGTTGTATTATAAAAAGCCTAGTATTATAGAAGTAAAGTACGTAAAGGTTATTATAAAAAGCCTAGCATTGTATAAGTAAGGTACGTAAAGGCTATTATAAAAAGCCCGGAGTTAGCGAAAGTTCGAATGCCGCTCCTTAGCTACTACGTACTATATAGCCTCCTCGGTTTACCGACGGATAGTAAAAGTTAGTAAAAGTTAACGAAAGTTCCTAAGATATGCAAATTAAGCTAATAAATTACAGATAGGGGAGGGAGTTCGGTTATCGTATCGTCGGCTCCGTTCTTCTAGTACTAAGATCGGTATACAAATCGTCTATTCTGTTTCTTAGCTACCTAGTAGCAACTTTTACTAACTTTTATTATCCTACTAGGTCCGCTATTCGAACGCCTAGTCTATAGCTCTTATTGTTGTCTTTTAAATCCTAGTCCTTTAGGTCCTTCCTAGGTCCCTAAGCGCCGAATATATGCTATAGTACCGGTAGCTGCGGTATAATAGGTATAGTATAGTAGTGTCGGCCTTCTTCGAAATATAGTATCGTCTTAGTCGGAGATAGGTTCTTAAAGCTAGTACGGTCGTCGCTGTCGTGCTAGACATCTTTGCTAGCGCGATTTTACTAGGAATGCGCTTATTCGACGTATCTCGTACTATATACGTTGCTAGCGTGCTATATATTGTTAGAGTGCTATCGTATCGTTTAAAAGTCGTAAAGTCGGTATTATAATCTACGGAATCCCGGGTCTTAGCGGGGCTTAACAATATTAGGCGCGCGGATAATACCTACTAAGCTACGCTACTAATCTTTACGTAGTAACAACTTCTACGTATCGGAAGGCTATTAATAGAATCGTCCCTATAATAACAATATAGCCTTTACCTTTTTCTCGTATAAGCTAGCTACTTACCTAGATTATTCGCCGCTTAATAGTATAACACTATTATATACGACAACAAACTAATTAGCCTAGTTCTCTTTTCCTATAGCCGTTACCCGTAGCGAGCGATAAAAACAGGTTAGTATACTCTCCCGATATTCTAGAAAGTATAAGATATCGATACGAGTAACGTACTAGAATGCAAGACGACGCCGAATATAGAGACATGCCCCTACGGCCGGCGGCCGTAGGTCTCGTAGGAATAGCTAGTCTAGTTAATTTCTAGTATCTCTAGGGTTCTAGCAACCCTTAGCACTCCCGGCCGTAGTAGGTCTTGCTAGTAGGAATAGCTTATCTAGTTAACCTTTAGCACCCTAGCCGCAGGCCTTATACTTAGGCCTTTTGTTAGCAGCCCCTAGCAACTTTTAGTATACCCGCGGGCCGCGGTAGCTCTTATACTAGGAACTTTTACCTTTACTATTAACTTTTAGTAACTTTTAGCGCCCGGTAGTAGGTCTTATATATAGAACCTTTATTATTAAACTCTAGCAACTTTTAGCGCCCGGCGGCAGGTCTTATATATAGAACCTTTATTATCAAACTCTAGCAACTTTTAGCGCCTAGTAGTAGGCCTTATACTTAGAACCTTTATTAGTAACTTTTAGCAACTTTTGGCAACTTTTAGTACCCCCGGCGGGCGGTAGTAGGTCTTACGGGAACAGCTAGGCCCGTTAACTTCTAGTACCCCTAGCGGTAGTGCTATAGTAGGTATAGTATCCGAGGCTCCGTTATATACTCCGCCGAGAGCTGCGATTACGCCGACTAGTAAGTTAGCGTAACTAACGAAACCCCGGATTAGTAGTAGGTCTGCTGCCTTATAGCTAGAATAGCTATTCTAGCTATCTTTTAGCAACTTTTAGTAACTCTTAGCAACTCTTAGCAACTCTTAGTAACTTTTAGCCCCCCGTATAATCCGGTCGAGGATTAGAACGTTTACTATATCTTATCTACGAGTCAACTTCGATTATTTTAAAGATTAGATACGTAGACAAGTCTTAGCTAGCAAGAAGCAAGAGGATATTCGTACGGAGCTATATAATGCTAGATACTTAATTAGCCGTATATAATTTAAGGAACGATTAAAGCAATAGTAGATTTCCGCGCCTAGTCGAGCGCTAAGCTATCGTCGATATTTAGAGGATTAGCTAAAGCTCCTAGTATATACTATCTCCGTTTTAGCCCCTTCCTAATAAACGCAAGTAGTAGAGGCAGGCACAACACGCACCTTCTACTATTAGATATTTAACTGATGCACCTGCTTACTGCTCCTTGCGTTAGCAAGGGTCTAAGGACTAAAGTCAGCTTTGCAGTGCCCTACTCTCTATGCCTTAAGCAGGAAAGCTATATCTACTTCCGGAAGATCTTGAACAATATGCATTCTTATAGCAAGCACATCGGGCAGACCTAAGGCTTTCAAGAAGAGTTGTAAGCGATCGAAAGAGAAGAAAACTAGCCTTTCTCGTCGTAGAGCGATCTATTCTAGATTGCGCCCGGCGGCTTTATAGCACTATTAGCCTACTAGCTTTACTTAGGGACAACAGCACACCTGCACTACCTATATAGCATACGGACTACGTTCAGATTGGTTATCTCTCGGACCTCCGGCTCTTTTAGTATCTTTAGAACGCTTTCGAAAATCCGAACTTTGCCCTCTAGAGCTGTATAGTAACGAGGAGATGTCGCAAGATTATCGCAACAACAGGAGGTTATAGAGGCGGCTAGTCTGTACAGCCTTGTACCTTTAGGTGTTTTGAGTAGGGGTAGCAGATATCTATTATTAAAGGCTAGAGGAAGCACTGGTTTCGCATAAGGATTCTATTAGACCTGAGTTTTGTAGTTTTCATTTGTGCATCTTTGGAGATACAGCTATCATTGTATAAAGAGTTATCTTTATTAAAGTCTTGCCTAGGTGCGATTCTAACATAACTTTAGCTAAAAATGGGTAGTTGTTGTGCTGTCTAATCTGTTCTATATTCGCATAAGGTTAGAATAGCCGCTTTGCGACATTTGTCCTTAGGCTCTTTACAGAAGACTTCTTCAAGCCGCTAAGCTATAAAGAGAATGAAAGTAATAGCAACATGCAGTATAGAAAGTGCGTACCGTAGTGGAAGAAGTCGCCATAAAGAGCCTAAGAAGGAGGTAGAGTATATACGTTCTTTTATAAGTATCGCATCTTAGATAAGCAGGCTATAGAGTACTTTAAGTATAAGGGTATCGATATCGGCCTTATACGCTATCGAAGTATCCGAAACGAACTTAGTATAACGTATTCTCCCTACTCTACCTTTATATATTAATTATACTAGGTCTCTACTACTAGGTCGCTCGGCCCCTCTAGAGGCAGTATCTCTTTAATATTGCTACTATTATATAGAAAGAGATACTATTCGGAGACTATAATAACTTCGGTAGAGTAGCATTATACGACGTCCTTTATACAAAGTATAGTATCTCAAGCCGCGAACGTTTATAGTAAGCTATATTATATCTCAATCCTACTGCCGTTAAGCGAAGAAGATATAGTACGGTACGCAACTAGACTAGCTAGACGAATCCGGGCCCTAACTACGCTATCTCTATAGACGCCTACTACAAATTCGAATACTTCTGCTTCGTAATTTATGCCGCCGTAGACATATAGTCTAGGCGGGTTATATAGATCTATATTAGAATATCCGCTCGTACCGCGGTTTCTATAATAGCATAGTATATAGCCTTTATAAAGCAATATCGAGGTATACTACTTATTCTATAGAGTAACTGTAGTATAGAGACCGTTATAATAGCCGATACGTATATAACACTTCGGCGTACTCTTTGCGAAGACCCGTAGAACGGCGTCGTTCTTACGTTTAGCGATATGTTCCGGTATAGGACTAGTCGTATAAACTAGCGTATCGAGACATTCTAGCGTTAGCTAATACGTACGACTAGAAGATAGCGAAGGTACTTCTATAACTTGTACCTTTAAGGTGCATACCTTAAGGATTTCAAGTACGACCGGATCGCTATACTCTTTATATATATACCTATTATAAAGGCTATAGTATACGGATTTGCGAACTACTAGAACTACTACCGTATTCGAAAGCAGTAAGGAGAGTATATAGTAGCCGGTATATCTAACCTAAACTAGCGATACCTATATAGTAAGGGTGCTATACAGTTTATAGTTAAAGTACCCCTAGAGTTACTAGAGCTAATAGAACGAGATCTTTCCGGATTCGATTTAGAAGAGTACCTTCCGCTAGATACTATAGAATAGTGCGAGGACCGTCTTATAGAAGAGGGCTTTATTCTACCTATACTATCGAACGAGCTTAATCTAGATCTTAATTATATTTACCTTAAGGCCTACCTATATCTACGGGATAAGATTAAGTCGTATATAGAATTGGGATTTACCCTCAAGGAGTCTTACGTTCCGCTCTACGCTAGGTTCTAGGTACTAAATCCTAATAATTAGACGATCTAGGACGACGCGAATAAGCCTCTATTCGAGCCGACTTACGACGACCTATGATAGGAATTATAGAGGTCGATAGAACTCGATCGATAGGTCGGTAACAACTTTTTTATATTCGTAGTAGGGGCCTATCGGTCCGACGTAGACTTATCGGGGTCTGAGTCTAATACGGACTCTAATAAGCCTAGGTTATCTATAGGGTAATATCCTAATATAGTATAGAGCGCAGTAGTAGTTTCGGATTTAATACTAGCTATAGTAGCTAGCTACGGATAAGGCCTTTATAGTTATAGCGTCTAAGTATATCGGAGTGTAAGTAACTAGGCCCGGACTACTAAATAACAAGTTACTATTCGCTATAATAATCCTTACTTCTCTAGGGTTTAGGGAATACCTACTTTTACTCCGATATACTTAGACGCTGTATATATATAACAGTTATTATATCGACCTTCTCGACAATTAGTCTACGATCCCGCCGGCCTTCTTTAAAATCCCTCGAATATTATTAGTTATTTAATATCTAGTATATTAAACTTCGGAATCCTAGTATAGAAAGAGGGCAAACTATATACTAGAGGCGGCTTTATCTACGAAGAACGATTTAGTACAAATTTCGTGCCGAAATGCGAAGTATATAGGCTCGGCAACCTACAAATAACGAGTATAATCGTAGCGCTATAGATATCGCAATAGTAGGGCTTATAGCAAGGACTATAGTAGCAAGACCTATAGTAGTAGCTAGGCCTCGATAGAGAAGGATTATCTATATCGACAATATAGTAGTTACCTACGCCCGGATCTTCCGCGTCTTAAGTATTAACGTAGATATATAGATAGAGGGCCGGGACTAGCTCTTCGCTTACCGGAAACTTCCCTTCGATCGGGACCGAAGTACTATCGTATATTACGAAAGGGATTAGGCGATAGAAACTACTAGCTATATCTAACTATAGCCCTACTACTACGCTTAAAGGGATTAATTCGGAGAAGCTATTCTATAAAATTAAGCAATCTTAGTAGTCTCCTAGATATACTACGAAAGGCCTCGAGGCCGCGAAGAAGAAGAGGCGCGATAAAAACTAGATATTATAACTATTACCCCGTCTAGCTAGTAAGCATAGTAGCTAGCTATTAGAGTCGGCTAAGATAAACTATATCTTATTGTGCGTCTACCGCGTATTTATTAAGGTCGA